CGTTAGTTAATTAATTAACAATAATTTAGATTATTTTTTTTTTTTTTTTTTACAAATCATTATAATTTCATATTTACTAGATGTTATTTAATTACTGCACTTGAAAAAAGGAAGAAATAGCTTTCTAAGCCAATTTATCAAATTTTATTTTAAAATTACCATCCCAAAAATTTATTTTTCATAACAAATCTTTTATAAAACAAAAGCATTTTTCTTCTTTCACATTTAATCCATTCAAAAAATTATGATCAAAAAATATATGGTAATATAAACTTTGAAAATAATATGCATGCATGCTTACTTCTAGCAAATTTAAAAAGATTGTAAATTAGAAATTCAAAAAAAAAAAAGTTAAAACGAATTAAAATTTAAACAATTGGATTAATATAATTGGATAAATTTTTAGTCTAATATAATAATTAAGCACATTTAACTCTTTCTTACTTTTATCATTAATTTATCATTTATTAACAAACATGAAATTATTGTTAATGGAGCAGATGATAAGTTAATGATTATATTTTATGTAAATGATAAGTTAAAATATTATAAATTATATTCTACAAAATTATCATCACTTATTTCAAATATTACTGAAAAAAGAAGAGAAAAATATTAATCTTATATACGAGGAATGTTTGATCTAATGAATATAAATATTTAATCTTCTTAATTATCATCATCTTTTTATCATCATACATATGTTTCGTGATAATTTAGAACAAAAAAAAAAGGAATTTTTTTTTCTTCTTGTAATTTTTTATTTTTGTTGTTGAATTGCAGCTAAAATTGCATATAAAAAATTGCTGAAAAAAAAATTTTTAATTAAAGAGAGAGAGAGAGAAAAAAAAAGGAACACAAATGAGTAAAGTTAAACAAAGAAATTGTTATTTTAACTTTTACCTAACTAATTTTTAATGTCAAATTAGCAGTATAAATTAGGTAATCTAAATGATTCGAGAATTTTATCATTCTATTTTAGTAAAGTTAAAGAAAAAAATTGTCACTTTAATTTCCAATTAAATAATCCAGCTAATTTTTAATATCAATTTAGCGATATAAATTAGATTTTTAAATGATTTCGAAGTTTTTATCATTCTATTTCAGTTTTCCATTTCACTTTTAACTTCTTGTCCTAATCCTATTATTATATTTCTTCCTTCCTCTTTTTTTTTTTTTTCAAATAATACTGAACATAATTTAAATGTACTTCAAGTTAAATTACATACAAAAAAAAGAAGAAGGAATGCATCGAGAAGTAAAAACTACATAACGAACATTTTTTTGCAATCATTTCTCTTTTTCTTTTTTTTCTTTTACAGAATTTATTTTTCAAGAATTGGATTAAAAAGAAAAAAAGAAATTGATAAATTTCACATTGAAGAAAAAAATTACTTTTTTTTTTTTTTTTTGACAAATTTTCATATGAAAATCAATTTGTAAATTTTTCACACGAAAGAAAAAAAAAAGGGAAAAATTGAAAATTCAATAGATAATAGAATAATTTTAGATGAATGAAAAAATACAAATGAATGTAATTTATAACGAATAAATTATAATTGTTATGAAAAAAAAAAAAAAAGAAAAGTGTTATTTGATTATTTCATATTTTAAATTTATATATTTAAGAAAGGCAATAAAATAAGAATGAACATTTAGTAATATTAAGAAAATGATTTTTTTTTTTCTCTATCGAACTGGTTTTTATTTACAATGAAAATTTCATTTTCAGTTGTAGCAATTTTTGCATTCCATTTTCAGTCGATGCTTGAATTTTTTGACAAAATTATAAATAAAAGGAAGAGAAAAGTACACATCAATCAATCTAGCACACACACACACAAAAAAAGAAAAAGAAAGAAAGAAAAAAATTCCCAAAGCTATCTTCTGGTCATTTTTTTTATGGAAGAGGCAGGTTAAATTAATTAAAAATAAACTTGGGATGAAATTAATTGGTGAATTTCATTATTATCTTTTGTAGAATGTAACTAATTATACCTTGAATATAATTCTACCTGAAATGTTGATAATTACTTATTACTTAGCAATTTTTCATATTCTTTTTCCTTCTATCATTCAATTTACTCTTTTCTTTTTTTTTTTTTTTTTCTTCTGTGAATTCATTTAAAATTTAATTTCATTTAAAAATTTAATTTAAAATTTAATTTAAACATTTAAAATTTAATTTAGTATTTTCAGTCAATGAATAAAAAAGAAAAAAAAAAAAAAAAAAAAAAAAGGAATGAAAGGAAATATCAAATTACATAAGTAAATCGAATTTATATAGCTTGGAAAATAATTCTTAATTGATTTCCACTCATTCAATGAATATATTTAGCAATTAATCAATGAATAATAGAGATTATGAACTGTTTCAAAAAATATTTTTTGAAAATTTCATTCTTTCACTAATTCAAAAAAACATCACTGATCAAAGAGTTTTGGGGAAGAAAAAATAACTAAGTCAAAGTTAAAAGTTATAAATTATAAAGAATATATTTTGCATTCGAATTGTTGATTGAATTGAAAATTAAAATAATTATATATAGCATTGAAATGAACGATTATCGATTAAAGAAGTGCAAGAATTAGATATACTACAAAATATCCTTTAATCATACCGCTTTATTTTGAATTAAATTCAATAAATTTATCAAAAAAAAAAAAAGAAGAAAACGTCAAAAGTTTTCAATTTATTTGTTGAAACCCCCCTCTCCCCCCCCCCCCCCCCCCCCCTCCCCAAAAAAAAAAAGAAAAAATCATTCAAATTATAAGCACAAATTGCGTCTTTTAACAACCATAATTAAATTGAAAGAAAAGGAAAAAATTTTTTCCACCATTACTTACTTAAATTATTCATTAAAAAAGTCAGCCATCATTCAATTTGATGAAATTCCTTCGAGTTAAAAATAAAAATAAAAAAACTACACAATTCTGTGTTACTCGTTTGCTTTTTGACATCAATGAAGAAGGAATGACATTTTTTCAAAAAAAAAAAAAAATGTAATACATTTTGTGACGTTAATACTTATATTTTTTTTTTTTTAAAAATGCTTTCTCGCATATGAAATGACAATGTTACTATTTTTTGTTATGCATAAATAAAATTAATACATTCGAAAATTAAATTGTCAAACAATTAAACAGGAAAAGAAAAAATACTTTATCATAATTTTTTATAGTTTGTAAATTTGAATGTAATTAGAATAAAATAAAAATAACATATATCTAGCTAAGCTATAATTCATTTAGATATAATAAGCATTTTGATTAAACTTAAATAAATTATCTAACAATTGATATTATACTTGAAACTCATACATACATCGATTTAATTCTTTCTGTACGATAGAATTAAATCGATGAATGAATATTTACGACAATTTCAAGTACTTTTATATCTTGTGAAAGAAAAAAAAAAGAAAAGAATACGTAACATAATTTCAGATTTACAAAAGAAAAAAAATTAAATTTCAATTACGAACAAAACTATTCCCTATAAATAATTCACTAATTTAGCATTAATAATTTGAAACTATAAATGATTCATCTTAATCTATCATCTCAGTAATTACAACAACTGTTACGAGAAATGAATTTAAAACATTCTCCTAATAGATAAATCATTTAAGTAACTAAAACAAAACAAAAACAAAAGCAAAAAAAAAAAAAAACTTTCTTAAAATTTTACAAAACTAAATAATCTCTATTGCATAAAATTTAATTCAACAATTTAGATTTAAAAAAAAAATTTTTTTATATCTAAAGAAATATATGTGTTACCAATAAATAAATAAATAAAAAAAGGGTAAAAATGATCTTAGACATATGTAAACTATTAACAAAAACAAAAAAAAAAAAAAAAACACTTTTGTTAAATTTTACAAAACTAAATGATTGCTATTGCATAAAATTTAATTCAACAATTTAGATTTAAAAAGAATGAAAACTTTTCTCTTTTTTTTCTCACAAAAAAATTATTACATTTAAATTTAAAAAAAAAAAAAAAAAAAAAGAGAAAAGAGGAATAGAAATAATCTCTCAAACATATGTAAACTATTAACAAATATTGAAGAGAATGAAGAACAGAAGAACGTTGAAATGAAGTGCGCTTGCTTATCTCACAATCAGTAAAAAGGAAGAATGAAAAGAAAAGAATTGCCATAGTATAGTGACACATTCCGCCTCCTTTTTCTCATTTTCTCTCTCCCTCTCTCTCTCTCCCTCTTTCTCTCCCTTTCCATTTTCTACTCTCTTTATTGCATCAAAATGTAGAAAGACAACATGAGATGTTGAGTAAAATTTTCTTTCTTTCAAAATTAAATTTTCTCAATTGCATTTTAAAAATGAAAATGCTTACTTTTATACTTTGTACTTACACTTTACAATTATTGTTGCCTTTGAACAATTTTTATCCATTTCATTCCATATATTCATGATAGTATTTTTTGCTTTAACATAAAAAATTGTAATTCGAAAGAGTGTAAAATAAAAAAATAATAATAATAATGAAAATGAAATTTATAAATAAATAAAATTTGTAAAGAAGAAATGAATAAAACGGATAATTTGAGTAAAGTATATTGATTGATGCGATGAATGACATGAAATGTCCATTATTTAATTTACGCAATAATATGTGACACATATATTCCTTTTGTCATCCGGCACACTTCGGTTACCTCATTCCGGTCAACTCAATCAAACCATAATACGCTTTTAATGCAAGCTCTTCCGCATCCATTATACAACGGGCCTTATTTTCAGCCTACGCTATGAAATTTACTATCCCTTTCCGATGTGATTATTGAAGAATTTTTTAAATTAGGGATAAGATTTATTTCCGTTACGCTTACAATACATTACATATCTTTGTATTTTAATTAATTAATTAATCATTTAATTAACTAATTAATTATAATATACAATATGATAATTTAATAAATTTAATACATCATTTTCAAGAAATAATTATATGATAAAAAAGTAAATAATTTATTCTACACCTTATAAAGTTTGATAATTTTCTGTTCCGGAATTCGTAATTGAAGTTGTTCACTAAGTGTTGATTTAGCACGTTGAAAACGTTCCTTGCTACTGATAATTGCTGTAGCACTAAGACGATCATACATATCAATTCGTTTACGAATTGAAAATCGATTAGTTGTTAATGATTGTTGATCATTGTGCGGATCCGGTGGTGGTGCACTACATGGTGACATACCGGATGAAGTGCTATATTTTGAAATGGTACTACTTCCGGATGGCCAATTACTGAAATAACATATATATATATGTATACATTATATATATATATATATGTATACATTATACTTTTAAAAATAACATTTATTTATTTCAATTTTATAAATTATTTAATCATTTATCATTACTTCTCTTTCTTTTTTTTTTTTTTTTTTTTGTTTTTAAAATAAAATTAATTTTCAATTTTTCAAATTTTTTTATCTAATCTTTTATCGTTGCTTTTTTGTCTTTTTCCTCAAAATAAAATTATTTTATCTATTGTTGATATGAATTAATTATTCTCTCTCTCTCTCTCTCTTTCTCCTCTCTCTCACTCGTTTTGAAAGAAAATATTTGAACTGATGTATTGATGTAAACATTATTACAACTGTCAAAAATCAAAAAAAAACAAAAATTCATTGTTTATAAATTTATCATTTGTCACCTGTCACTGTTATTATTTGCTAATAATTCCAATGTACTAAAGCTTCCTTTTTTATTCCATAATTGACGACCAATAGATTGAGAATAATTATTATTTGATTCATCATCAATTTTATTTATTGCATCACTAATTTGATCTAATCGTTCTTCAATATTACGCAACAAATTAATACCATTTTCTAAATTTAAATTTTAAAAATTAAATTTCACATATAAAAGGAAATAGTTAATTTTCGATTTTAAAAAAAAAAATAGAAAAAAAAAAACGAATAAATAAATCTATATATATTTACTTTGCTAAATGAATCTGCAATTATTTTAGTTAATAGTTAAAGGGAAATAAAAAAAAAAACTTTACTCTATAACTTTATACCTGATTAAATTATTCATATATCTCTCTAATAATGCTTCAATTTTTTTTTTCTTTTTTTAAAAAAGATAATTTAGCATTTAAATTTATGAATGTATAAGTCATAAAAGTTTCAAATTTTAAATCATTTATAGATTATCAAATATGATATTGTATATGCACTAGTATATTAATACTTATAAATTTATTTATTGTATATAAGTTAAAGATTATTAATAAGTAAAGTAAATAAAATTACTTGGATAAGTAGATGTAATCATTGTAGATGATCCATCAGGATTTTGACATCGTTTGAAACGAATAACAATAATACTTACATTGCCAACATATTCAAATGCTTGTACAATATCCTAGAATAAATTTTTTTTTTTTTTGCAATCAATTTAAAAATGAATAAAAATTTAACATATTTTTATAATTTCAAAAATAGAAAAAAGAAAAAAAAAAAGGAAAGTATTTAAACATTTTAGAAAAAAAAAAAAAAAAAAAAGAAAATGAAAAATTCATCTCATAAAAGCTTTACTTTTAGTCATCTTACATCTATTACACACATTCCATTTCATTAGTTTATTTTTATAATTTTAACTGTTTCAAAAACAAAAAACAAAATTCACTTTCTTTTTAAAATTATTACTTTTTTTAAAAAAAAAAAGAAAATTAAAAGCTATTACTATTATTATTATTTTTTTTTTCTTAAAAGAATTAAATTTAAAAAAAAAAAATGAAAACTATTCGAATATTATCTATTTTTCTCTCTAATGTTAATAATTTTTCAAAAAAAAAAAAAAAACTTTTCTAACTTGTAATTTTTTTGCTGCAATTTGTGGATTATATGTTGTCCGGATATTATCGACAACTTCCTGAGGTGAAATATATTTCCAGAATGCTCGTGAACCAATTACAATAAATTCATCAGCTTCCGTAAGTTTTATCGTATCCTAAAATTGATATATTTTCTTTTTAATTTTTTTTCTCAAAAAAAAAAAAAAAAATGTAAAGAAATGAAATAAATTAATATTTATTCAATTATTGAAAAAAATTTTTGAACTTTTTTCAATTGGATAATATTTTATTAAATAGAAAGTCATGTATAATTTATTAATTATGTAACTAATTTTTGATATTATTTATATTTTTCATTAATGCTAATGCATCATTTTAATTTATAATCAAATAGAAAAAATATAATCGAAAAAATTATTTCTTTAATTCATTTTTTTTTTTTTTTTTTTCTAACAAACCTGATAAGATTTTGGAAGAACAGCAGGATAAAGAAATGAAAAACCAAGTGAACTTGCTGATAAACATATTCCATTAATTAAATTATCCTAAAATAAAGGAAAAAAACATTTTTATCATCAAAAATATGAAATGATAAAATGTATAAATTAAAATTTATATATCATTTAATTTTAAAATCAAATGCGGAAATAATTGAATAGAAAAAAATTATTTCTCTAGGTATTTTTTTTTTCTAGCAAATCTGATAAGATTTTGGAAGAACAATTACTGCCAATTTTTTTTTTTTTAATCATTATTATCATCGTTATCATTGTCATTAGCACCAATTTTGTTTTAATTTATATAATGTAAATATTAAAAATTGAAAATTTAAAAAAAAAAAAAAAGAAATCATTAATAACCTGATTAAGTGTTGCATTACCGGTACGTAATTGAATATAATCTTCCGGTGTTATGATAATTTCTTGATTTGGTAACTGTAAAGCATTTCCAGAACGACATAATACTGCTCGAATACCGCCAACAGTTGCATGCAGTAATTGATTTTGTTCAATTTTAAGAAGCATTGCTGCTGCACCAAGACGTTCACCAATTTGTCCGAGATGCTCGTGCGCATAAATTAATGCCATTTTTAAACTATGCTCATTTATTAATGGCTAAAAGTAAGAAATTCTGTATTATTGGAATAAAAAAAAAAAAAAAAAAAAATGTTTGCAAATATTATCAATGTTACTAATACAATTGTTAATTTCAAAATAAATAAAAAATTAAATTAAATACTCTAATTAATAGTACATCTTTCTCTCTCTCTCTCTCTCTCCCTTTATTTCTCTTTTATAACTTTTTATAATTAAAAATAAAAGTTTAGACATCTAAGTGATAGGAAATATCATCAATGTTACATGATTACTTTAATAATACAATTGTTAATTTCAAAATAAAAAGAAAAAAATTAAATTATTTTAATTAGTACTTCATCTCTCTCTCTCTCTCTCTCTCTCCCTTTCTCTCTCTTTTATAACTTTTTATAATTAAAAATAAAAGTTTAGACATCTAAGTGATAGGAAATATCATCAATGTTACATGATTACTTTAATAATACAATTGTTAATTTCAAAATAAAAAGAAAAAAATTAAATTATTTTAATTAGTACTTCATCTCCCTCTCTCTCTCTCTCTCTCCCTTTCTCTCTCTTTTATAACTTTTTATAATTAAAAATAAAAGTTTAGACATCTAAGTGATAGGAAATATCATCAATGTTACATGATTACTTTAATAATACAATTGTTAATTTCAAAATAAAAAGAAAAAAATTAAATTATTTTAATTAGTACTTCATCTCCCTCTCTCTCTCTCTCTCTCCCTTTCTCTCTCTTTTATAACTTTTTATAATTAAAAATAAAAGTTTAGACATCTAAGTGATAGGAAATATCATCAATGTTACATGATTACTTTAATAATACAATTGTTAATTTCAAAATAAAAAGAAAAAAATTAAATTATTTTAATTAGTACTTCATCTCCCTCTCTCTCTCTCTCTCTCCCTTTCTCTCTCTTTTATAACTTTTTATAATTAAAAATAAAAGTTTAGACATCTAAGTGATAGGAAATATCATCAATGTTACATGATTACTTTAATAATACAATTGTTAATTTCAAAATAAAAAGAAAAAAATTAAATTATTTTAATTAGTACTTCATCTCTCTCTCTCTCTCTCTCTCTCTCTCTCCCTCTCATAATTAAAGTATTAGATTTTTTTCTTTTTATTTTTTTCATAAACTAATGATAGAAAAAAAAAAAAGATGAAAAGATAGGATAACTTAATTTTATATTAATTAATTAATTAATTACCTGTTTTTGAAGGAAATTATTAAGTTTTTCGATTACAATTGCAGCTATTTGATCATTATTACCACCATCGATAATACCAAAAATTGCTTTCATATTTGAATTTGATCGAATTTGTCGAATGCATAATCTGTAAATGATATATTAATAATTTTCATTCAATTTATCAATTATTCGATTAATAGAATAAATAATATGCTAAATTCAGGTTATATTTTCAAAAATTAAACATTCTACTATTGTTAATTTAAATTAGATAATTTAATTTTTGAATTTTTTTTTTTTAAATTCCACACATTTTTTTGCTTTTTTATCATAATCGAGCATAAGATTTATTGAAAGCTATATAATTCAATAATTTAGAGTATGAGTTACAATTGGATTAATGATAGAAATTAAAATTAGAATTCCAATTAGAATAGAATTATTTTATAGAATAAAAAAAAAATTAATGGAAAAAAGAAGCGATTAAAAATTTAATCAAATTTTAAATTAAAAATAGCTTTAATCTTTTTATTTCTTTTTTTGCATCATATTTGATAAAATAAAATGATAAAAATTTTCTTGTTACAGTAAAGGCAAAGATTAACTTATTCCGTTGTCCGGCTGATTCACTGAAGCCAACCTGAAATGTATGATAGTTGCATTCATTTCCAACATTTACAACTGATATTGCTTGACCTTGTCTGCAAATAATAATAATATTAAATGAGATTTTAAAAATTTTTAAATTTTATTTTTTATTGTAAAAAAAAAAAAAAAAAAAACAAATTTTTTTTTTTCATCTTTACAACTATTAATTAAATTGAAAATACTAAGTTTTTTTTTTTTTTTTTTTAAATAGATAAAAAGAGAAAAGAATAAACAAAAGAAGAAGAAAAAGAAAAAAAAAAGAGACATTAAGCAATAATTTAAATTCTTTTTTAAGCACGAAATGATAAGATATTATCAGAGAAGTGATAAGATAATCATTAAAATTAGAATGTCTATTATCATTTTATCAATTCATTTATTTCACATACTTTTTTGGTTTTATATTATTGGTATCAACTTGTAACATATAATTACAGGTCAGATCAAGATGTTTTAGAGTTTTTGCCATGCATAAATTTGTATCTAAATTTCCAAATTCGTTGTTTGAAATATCCAATAGCTAAAAAAAGATTTTAAAAAAAATTAAAAAAATTAGAAATTTTCACTTCTTACTACACAGATTATAATAATAATAATAATTGAGTAATGTTAAAAAAGACATTTTCAAAGTTTCTTAAAAATTTCAAATAATTTTTTCTTAAAAAATAAACTTAATTCCATATGTATGATTAAATTGTCATAATTGGACAGTTTGATTTGCTGCTAGCAATGAACAAATTAATTATTTAAAATAACTCATTGATTATAATTATATTATAAAAGCATTATCCGAATATTTACCGCACTTAAATAATCGGAATTCATAATAATAATAATTGAAAAGTTAAATAAATAATTTGTGAAATAATTGCTAATGGGGAAAATGATTATTAGAATATTTGCCGCATTTAAATAATCGGAATTCATAATAATAATAATAATAATAATAATTCAAAAGTTAAATAAATAATTTGTAAAATTGCTAATGGGGAAAATGATTATTAGAATATTTCCGCCTTTAAATAATCGGAATTAATAATAATAATAATAATTGAAAAGTTAAATAAATAATTTATAAAATAATTGCTAATGGGGGAAATGATTGTTAGAATATTTGCCGCATTTAAATAATCGGAATTAATAATAATAATAATTGAATTATATTATAAAAGCATTATCCGAATATTTACCGCACTTAAATAATCGGAATTCATAATAATAGTAATAATTGATAATTGCTTATTAGAATATTTATCGTATTTAAATAATCGGAATTAATAATAATAATAATTGAAAAGTTAAATAAATAATTTATAAAAATAATTATTAATAAAAAAAAAAATGACGTACAAGCAATTGTGATGATTGTGAGAAATCCGGAATTGCTGTAATACCGTTTGAATGTATCCGAAGAACTTGTAAATTAGGTAATTGTGCAAATGAAGTTGAAATTGAAATGAGATGATTCGCTGATAAATTTACTTCTTCTAGTGCTACCAAACGATTCAAACAACTTTAAAAATAAAAAAATTAAAAAAAAAAAGAATTCTTTTTTTTTATTTTAAATTTTCAAACAAAAATTCATAAAGTGAAAAAAGAAAAATTAACTGCCTAATATAGAAATAAATATGAAATTATATAAATTTATGCAAATGATTTAGGCAAATATTTTATGCCATTGATATTTCTTATCTTTAATTAATTAATTAATTAATTCTTTTTTTTTTTTTAAATGATCCATCTAAGCATAGTTATCTTTTTATTTCTAATAATTAAACTAATTGAAATTATTATGTTTGTAGGTAAAATCAAATGATTTTCTAATAAATTTACAAAACAATCAAATCATTGTTTTAAGCTTTAAAATAATTTAATAAATTGAGAGAGAGAGGGGGAGAGAGAGAGAGAGAGAGAGGGAGAAAAAGAAAAAAAAAATTAACCTGTCATCAAAAAATTTGAGTTGATTATAAGAAAGATCTAAGAGTCGTAGACGTCGACAACATACCACAACACTAATTACACTTTCATCAAGAAAATTTCTTGCTGCACGAAGAAATTGAATTCGATTTAAATCAAACATTGTATTTGCAGGTGGAAGGCGTTTAAGTCGATTATGTGAAACATTCAAATTTTTCAATCTAAATTTTATAAACAGCACAAATTAATTAATGAAATAATAAATCATTACTGAATCGAATATAATTATAAAGTAATGATTTAATAAAACGATGATTATTTCATGAATCGGTTATATTAATGAAATAATTTATTACTGAATCAAATATAATTATAAAATTAACACGGATATATTAACAAAATAATGATTTAATAAAATAATGATTCTGTTATTGAACCGGATATATTAGCAAAATAATGATTGTATTACTGAACCGGTTATATTAATAAAATAATGATTGTATTACTGAACCGGTTATATTAATAAGACAATGATTGTATTACTGAACCGGTTATATTAATAAGACAATGATTGTATTACTGAACCGGATACATTAATAAAATAGTGATTGTATTACTGAACCGGTTATATTAATAAAACAATGATTGTATTACTGAACCGGTTATATTAATAAAATAATGATTGTATTACTGAACCGGTTATATTAATAAAATAATGATTATATTGCTATCATCTCTTACCCTTCTTCAAAAACATTCTCAGAAGGAAAGATTTATCTTGAAAGAGACAGATTTAAAAAGAGTTAATTTTTAAAAAAGAACAAATTTAGAAAAGTGTAACTTTATAAGAAGTAGATCTAGAATAACTTACTTTAGAAGTAATAGAAGATTAAAATTTACTTTTAGAATGAATTAAATTTCAAAAAGACTTACTTATTAGCCACTTTAAGCAATTCATCTGGTAATAAATCAATGCAATTATTATGCAATGATAAAACTTCCAATGCACAATTCTCGATAATCTCTGGTAGACGTTCAATTTTATTATTATTTGCATAAAGATTTTTTAATCTGCTTACATTCATAAAAATTCTAAAAAGAAAAAAAAAATTATTTTTGAACTTAAATTTTAATAAAAACTAAAGATTTTTTTTTTGAAAAATAAAAGACAAATAAAAATTAAAAATTCAAAGTTTCTGTTTTTTTTTTTTTCCATTTCTTTTCATTTTTATACCTTCCCTTTAACTCTTACTTTACTTTTTAAAGAAAAAAAAAAAAGAGATTAAGTTAACCTGGATGGTAAATAACGCAGAAAATTGTGATGGGCGGAAATTGTTTCAATATATTGCAAATCTGTTAGCCATTCTGGTAATGAAGTAAAACGATTGAATGAAATTGAAAATACAATTAGTTGAATTGGTATTGGCATTATTATCACTTGTGAGAGCTCTGAAATATTATTACAAACGTAAGTTTAATTAATATCATACTTTAAATTACGTAAATACGTGAAAAAAATACGTGGAATGTTGTATTTTTACTCTATTAATTTATGCCTTTTCTTTTCTGGTAATTAAACAATTTTATATCGTACTTATCACTAATTTAAATTACGTAAATACGTGAAAAAATACGTGGTATGTTGTATTTTTACTCTATTAACTTATGCCTTTTCTTTTCTGGTAATTAAACAATTTTATATCGTACTTATCACTAATTTAAATTACGTAAATACGTGAAAAAATACGTGGTATGTTGTATTTTTACTCTATTAACTTATGCCTTTTCTTTTCTGGTAATTAAACAATTTTATATCGTACTTATCACTAATTTAAATTACGTAAATACGTGAAAAAATACGTGGAATGTTGTATTTTTACTCTATTAACTTATGCCTTTTCTTTTCTGGTAATTAAACAATTTTATATCGTACTTATCACTAATTTAAATTACGTAAATACGTGAAAAAATACGTGGAATGTTGTATTTTTACTCTATTAACTTATGCCTTTTCTTTTCTGGTAATTAAACAATTTTATATCGTACTTATCACTAATTTAAATTACGTAAATACGTGAAAAAATACGTGGAATGTTGTATTTTTACTCTATTAACTTATGCCTTTTCTTTTCTGGTAATTAAACAATTTTATATCGTACTTATCACTAATTTAAATTACGTAAATACGTGAAAAAATACGTGGTATGTTGTATTTTTACTCTATTAACTTATGCCTTTTCTTTTCTGGTAATTAAACAATTTTATATCGTACTTATCACTAATTTAAATTACGTAAATACGTGAAAAAATACGTGGTATGTTGCAATTTTAGTTTATTAATTTACTAAAAAAATCATACGTCTTTTTTTTCCAGTAATTAAACTAACTTTAATAATTAAAAATTACATTTCCATTGAACAGTTAAGCAATAAGAGCAAAATATTTTTTTTTTTTTATTCATTTTCTTCCATTTTTATTTTTTTGTTTGTGCCCATAAAAAAATTATTAAATTGAAATAATAATTTTTTTTTTTAATTTATTAGAAAAATTATTATTATATATTTATAAAAATTAAAAATAATAATGAAAAAAAAATTTATATAACTGCAAAATTATTATTAAATGTTCAAAAATTTATGCTAAAATACTTTGAATGCATGCATAAATGATAGTAATTAATACTTTTAAGTTTGTTATATTGGAAATGATAAAAAGAAAAAATAATTTTTTCATTACAATTTAATTTCTCTTTTTAATTTCTCATTATTATCTTTAATTTTTATAAATAATAATTTTTCACTATCTTTAATTTTTATAAGTTTATTTTATTTTATCATTTATCTTAAAAATGTAAAAAAAATTTGCTCATAAACATATAAAAATGATTATAAATGATGAAAATTGTAAATTGATAATTCTTATCAGGATTGTTTATTTTACTATTAATAATAGTTTAAATTTTAAACTGATAAAATGATAAGAAATGATATGAAATCTTACCATTATTATCAGCATAGAGATATTTAAGATTGGTACCATTTATTTGAAGATTTGTTAACTGAAGCCTTTCACAGTGTACAATCTAAAATAAGCGAATATTTTATCATATTTTTTTGCAGTGATAAAATGATAAGGATAAAAAATTCTAATCAATAATATAAGTTATTGATAATGAATCAATTAAAAGTAAATGTTTTATTTAAAAAAGAAAGCTAATTTTGATGAAATAATAAAACAAAATTATATAACCTTTAAGATTAATTTTATCAAAAAAAAAATTTATTCCTTATCAATCACTTATCAGTTCAAATGATAATAATTGATTGCTATCAAATAATTAATTGATTTTTAATAACTGATTGAAAGATTTAATTGAAAAAAAGAAAAAAGAGAGAGAGAGAGAGAGAGAGACTAAAGAATTCAATTTTAATTAAAATTAAAAAACAATCATAAAATAAGTATTATCAAAATAAAAACGATAAATAAATACCTGTATAGTATGTAAATTACTTAAATCTAATTCAAATAAATTTTCATTATCACGAATATCCAATTCTGTTAATGCACAACAAATAAATGAAGTTAAACGTATCGCACTAAAATATAAAATATAATTGTTATTTTATTTAAATTAAATTTTAAATTAAAAATTTTTAAATAGATGAAAGAAATTATTTAAATATGAAAAAATTTAATTTACAATTAATTAATTAATGATAAATTTTAAATCTTTCATATACATTCTTTAATAAAAAAATTCATTTTAAGAGATAAATGGAAATAAAAAGTAACAAAATTATATTTGAAAAATTTCATTCTTAAATCTATTAAAAAAAAATTTTAATTCAAGCAAATATAAAATTTGTAAATATTTTTCGGAATTTTTAAAATTAATTCAAATTAAATAGAAATGTTTGAAAAATGAGTAATAAAATTTGAAAAAGTTTTAAATAAATTTAATTAACCCTCTCAATGCATTTCGACGTAAATCAATTTTTGATGCATGAATGCACGAAAGCGAATGCAATGCTGAAATTTCAATATTGTTACCGGCCATTTCCAGATGTACAGTTCGTTTCAGTGTAAATAAAACATCCGGAATCTAAAAGTTTAGCTATAAGAAAATATCCGGAATATGAAAGTTAGCTGTCAAAAAATATCTGATATCTGAAAGTTAGCTATCAATGAACATCCGAAGTCTGAAATTTAGCCATCTAAAAGCATCCGGAATCTGAAAGTTAACTATCTAAAGGCATCCGGAATCTGAAAGTTAGCCATCTAAAGGCATCTAGAATATGAAATTTAGCCATCTAAAGGCATCCGGAATGTAAAAGTTAACTATCTAAGGGCATCCGGAATCTGAAAGTTAGCCATCTAAAGGCATCCAGAATCTGAAAGTTAACTAACTAAAAGCATCCGGAATCTGAAAGTTAACTATCTAAAGGCATCCGGAATCTAAAAGCTAGCCATCTAAAAAAATCCAGAATCTAAAAGTTAGCTATCGAGGAGTATCCGGAATCTGAAAGTTAGCTATCGAAGAGCATCCGGAATCTGAAAGTTAGCTATCAAAAAGTATGAAAATGAAAATTTGCTAAATTTTAATAATAATTTAAAATATAAGCCTATTTTTTTTCTGATATCTAATTTTTAAAAATTTCTGCATTATAATTTTTGCAAAAGAAAACAATTCGATCAATTGCCTTACAATAAACTGAAATTAAGTTAATATTTTTTTTTTAAAATTATTCATTAATTAGAGAAATAATTTAAAAAGAAAAAAAAAAAAAAAAGATGAGAATAGTTTATTGCCTGATTAAAACGATTGAAACTTAAATCCAATTTTGTTAACATTACACATCGTGAAAGCTCTTCCGGTACTGTTTGTAACCAATTATTGCTAACATTTAATATCGTTAAGCTGCAAATTACGCTTAAATTATTACGTGAAATCACGTTTGATCTAAATTTTTGATAAGAATAAAGAAGAGAATTTAGCAGACGAAATAATTTCAACGTTTAATATAATTTCTCTCTCTCTCTTTTTTTTTTTTTTTTTTTAATTTTCAAATTGCTTTCAAAAAAAAAAAAAAAACTAATGCGACATTAAAAAATGTTTTTGTTGTTTAAACGCTAATTTTATTTACTTTATTTTATTCCATATCCATATACTTATTTTAATTATAATACTTTATCAAGATTTAAATGATACTTAAAGTAAGTTATGCAGTAATTAACATTAACTTACTTAATTAATTCAGCAATTTGTGCCGGAATATAGGATATACAATTTCCAGAAAGTATTAATTCGGTAAGATTACTGAGATGACTTATTGTAATTGGAAAATGATAAAGTAAATTATCAGCAATGTTTAGTGAACGTAACGAATGCAAACGTCCCACATCATCAAGCCATCCAAGAAGTGGATTTTGAATCTATAATTTATGATTAATTTAAATTTCATTTTAATTTTATTGAAAATTTTTTAAACAAAAAAATAAAAAATAAATAAATAATGAAAAATTTTACAATTTAAAAGTTAATTTCATATAGTTACATTGTCCAATACTTTATAACTCATTTGACAAAATATTAAGTTTAAATTCTTCTAAAAGTCTAAATTTTCATATGCTAGCACTTAGCTATTGAAAGTTTTAACTTTTAAACTATTAAAAAAAAACAATTTTTTTTTAAACTTAAATTAAAAGTAACAAAAAGACATACCAATATATATTAATAATTTATAACGAATTAATTGAAATATGAATTAGCTCATAATTGTTTAAAGATTTTCAATAAAATACTTAATGAAATACTAAAAATTTGATTTTGATTATAAAATTTTCATTTCATAGCTAATTAGCTTTATTGCTAATCAATTAAGTTATTACTTAAAGCATTTTTTTTCTCTCAAATTTTATCCGTTATCTTCAATATTGTAATATCTTGAAAATTGTCCGTTAAAAAATGTACGGATTTGATGATATGATAATAATCCGTTTTTTTTTTTTTTTTTCCGTTTCTATATCAAATCATTCTAGTTTCATTTTTCTATTATTATTAATTCAAAATTACCTGATTACTTGGACGAAATTGCAATGAATTTCTGCGTAAATTTAGCGTAACAATTTGACGGATTACTCCAACCGAAAATAATTCATCCGGTAGTAATAGTAAGCGATGATCACTTAAATCACAAATTGGTGCCATTTGAGTCTAAAATAAGAAATGAATTTAGCATAAATCATAATCAAACTAGCAAATAAGTAAAGTAAGTCTAAAGTAAGTTTTTGTAAGTAACTACCTGTTAAGTACACTTTGTTAAATTAATAAAAGAAAAATAATAATTTTGTAAGTAACTATCTGTTAGATATACTTTGTTGAATTAATAAAGGAAAAATAAACAAATAAACATAAAATTTTTTTTTAAAAAAAAAATAAAAAAAAAAAAAGATACTTGAAGCAAACGAGTAAGCCAAAGATTCATTTCACCAATTGCTTCAAATTTTAAATTATAAATATTAGAAGAATCTGTAAGACGAAGATACTTTCCACGGTTTCCTTCCGTTACGTCAACACGATATCGACTGAGTAGCAAAATCTCATCGTCAGTATTATCTAAAATAAAAATTAAATTATCAAAAATTATCTGTGCTGCATTATCATTAAAAGCTTTTAACATTTCTTTTAAATAATTATAAAAAATCAAAAATAAAAAGAAAAATCAAAAAATCAAAAAAAAAAAAGATCAAAATTAATAAACTTTTTTTTTTTTTTAATATTTAAATTATTTTAAAAAAAGTTATGGAAAATTTATGAATAAATTAATAAATTGATTTTATGTTGTAATAGTTTAAATTTAGCGAATTAATTGTTAGCTGCAATCATAATTTGTGATAAATGATAATTTTAGAAATAATGACGTAAAATTGAAACCATATTCAATACGAATAGTTCCATTATAAAGTGTACAACGTCGTTTAATCCATTTCTGTAGCAGTCGACCTTTACGTACGTGACACCACGCCATAAGTATTTCATTGCATGCTCCATCACCAATCGTTTGCTCTGGACGACCTGAATTAGTAGTAAAATTTAAAAAAATTCTATTAAATTTAGTAATTTATTCTCATTAATAATCCTAAAAATAATTTCAGATAAAGATTAATTTTAATTTTAATCCAATCACTCTGACAAATCATTGTAATGTCACCGTGCAATGTCACCAGAAAATGATTAAACATTTTACGTCTTCTTCCACCCAATAAATTATCACAAATTTTTTTTTTTTCTTTTACGAAAATAAAAAAAAAAAACTTTTGTAATAAATATTAATATTACCTATCAATAATGACAATAATAATAATAATAATAATGCTGCAAGCAACAGTTAATAATAATAATAATCATTAATCAATAATAATAGTAATAATAATAATAATAATAATAATAGTAATAGTAATAATAATAGTAGCAATGATAATACTTACTTATGAAAGATATACATAAACTTACCTATAAAAAAGCAGAACAGGTGAGTTAAATGTGTGGCATCGCCAACAGCCATACATTCTGACTGTGTTTCATATCCAATATTTAATAGAAATTCATTTTGTAATTGCAATGGATATTCTCCTGCTGATAAGTTACTGTAAATAAGAAATCATTTAAAAATATACAAAAAAAAAAGAAAAATAATGTAAACAATATACATAAGTTACTTATTATTACTTGTATATGATACGCATAAGTTACTTATTATTACTTGTATATGATATGCATAAGTTACTTATTATTACTTGTATATGATATGCATAAGTTACTTATTATTACTTGTATATGATATGCATAAGTTACTTATTATTACTTGTATATGATATGCATAAGTTACTTATTATTACTTGTATATGATATGCATAAGTTACTTATTATTACTTGTATATGATATGCATAAGTTACTTATTATTACTTGTATATGATATGCATAAGTTACTTATTATTACTTGTATATGATATGCATAAGTTACTTATTATTACTTGTATATGATATGCATAAGTTATTCAATAAGTTAATACTTATGAAAAGCATAAGTTATTAATTATAGAATTGTTAAATTTCAACAAAATATGACAAAGTATTAAATTGATCGTTTATGATTGTATGCAATAATATTAAAAATAAAAACAAATTTCTCGACGAATTTCTTTTTTTTTACAAAATTTAAATTAATTAATTATTTACCTAATTTTACATCCACCAATCTGAAGGTATAAACTTTCAAAACCCAAAACGGAACAGATATCTTGAACAGTTGTTTGAAGTGTAACTGGATAAATTAATGATCGTAATCCGGTTGGTGCATAAAGCCGGATAAAACCATTTTCGGCACCTGATTCTAGCCATTCTCGCTTACGATTACTTGTGATACGCTCAAGTTTTGCCGGTTTCCGCTGCAACTAATATAACTTTTATATTCAGATATGACAAAAAAATTTCATACTATTTAATTCACGCACTGACGTACGTGTAAATTCTTACTTATCAGATATTTCTATGCAAATTTAAGGTAAAAAACTTTTCAAATTTTATTAATTAGGTAAAGTCTCCAAAAATCTTTTCTCTTTGATATTTTCATCAAAAATACCTTTGCTTCAGAATTATCAAAATTATCTTTGGAATCCGGCACAGTTATAAACTAATTTTTTTTCCGTCAAATTAAATCAATCATTAAAAAAAAAAATAATAAAAATTTCAAATGCTACTTGATTGATCTAATATTAAGTAATATCTTCTTTTTTTTTCTTTTAAAAGATTATCATCCGGTTTGAAAGGCAAAAAAAAAAAAAACGTAAAATCATCATGAAATCATCAATCAGTTACACTTTTTTTTCCGGAAATGTTTCAAAAAAAAAAAAAATTGAAACATACTGTTTTTGTTAATGTTGCAAATTTTGTTATACTATCATCCACTGTTTTTTTTCGACGGCTTATCGTTGCGTAAATACTTTCGGTGTCGATACTTCTTGATGAAATTTCCGGAATAGTTTTGGATGACATTGAAAAGTTAAATAATCAAATATATTCTTATCATCATTTGCATAACTTAAATGAAATAAAAAAGTGTAAATTTTAAATTTAAATTTAGGTAATACACAATTTGTTAAGCAATACGACATTTTCAGTACAAACGGTAGAATAGAGAATAGAAAAGTTATAAATTTAATAAATTATTGAAAAAAAAAAAAAAATGTTAGATGCAATATGAAACCAATTAATATGGAAAAATGAGAAATTGCATTTTTTCCGGAAAACTTTCATTTATTCAATTTAAATTAATGAATATGAAAAAATGAGAAATTGCATCATTTTTCCAATATTTTTTTTCCGGAAAGCTTTCATTTATACAATTTAAATTAAAAGTTGCATCATCTTTTCAGGCTTATTTTCCCGAAAACTTTCATTTCTACAATTTAAAACAATAAACAATAAAGAAATAAACTTGTCAACACTGGAATTGAAAAAAAAAAAAAGAAATAGAATTGTCAAAAACAGAAGTAAATTTCATTTGAAAATATATGTTTACAACAAATTTCAATTTATTAACTTTTACATAAAGTTAACTCAATTTATTTTTTAAACAAAAAAAAAAAAAAAATTCTTTTATAATATTTACTACTAATAATTTCAAATAATAACAATTTGTTAAATTTTAATTTTATAAAAAAAAAATAATAATATATCAATTATTTATATAATAAAATTAAACAATTGGATTAAAATACAAATGGTTGTATTGTGATAGTATTATAATTAACTTTAAAATGATAGATAAAATGAGAATTAACAGCAAATGTGGTAAATTTGAAAGATCGGAACAATTGATGAAGTAATAAGTAGAATATGAAAGAGAGAGAAAGAGAGAGAGAGAGAGGGAGGGAGGGGAGGGAGAGAGGGGAAGAGAGAGGGAGAGAGAGAGGGAGAGAGAGATTTTCAATGAAAATGGCATGAAGTTAAAGTGAAAAATGAGATTTGCTGGCAACTTCCTGTAATTATTATTCGATAATGGTGATGATGATGATGATGATAATAATAATAACAATAGTAATAATAATAATGTGATGATGATAATAATAATAATGTGACAATTATCATGATGATACTTATATATTGAGCAATTATTATAATCATTGAACATTTTGATTTGATTTAATTAACATCTAAACAAAAATTTAGGTCATATTATAATTAAAAGAATCGTAGACAGCAAACAATTATATCTTTAAAATTTTAAGTGAAACAATGAATGATAAATAAAAATTGAATGATTATTAACAATGATAAGATAGTTTAAATTATTAAAAGTTTAGTAATTAGTAAAATTATTTTTAATAAATTTTTTTTGCATACTATTATTTTAATAAAATTTATTGATTTTTTTCTTTTTCTGAAATAATCCCATAATATAATTAAATTTCATTTCTTCTATTTACTTCTTAATGCATTAAAATGAGTAAAATATTAATTAAATTTAATTTAGGAATATGTACAAACAATTAAATTAAATCTAAATTCAACATACATTCATAAAATTTCAAATTTGATATTTCTAAAATTATTTGAATTTTGCTGCTACTACTGTTATTGTTATTGTTATTATTGTTATTGTTATTGTTGTTGCTATTGTTGTTATTGTCTGCTTCCCGTATTATTTCCGCATTTGTGCATTTATAACAATAGCATTACTAATAATTTAACAGTCTAATTATAATGGTCTAAAATTTAATCTAAATTTGAAATCAAATATTAATTTCTATCCCTCATATCATTTGAATAAATTGAAGAAAAAAAAATGGAAGAATGTATTATTAAAATAAAATTTAAAAACTTCACACTAAACAGCTATTTATAATGAATGCATTGAAAATTTAAAAAATGATATCATCGATTAATTAATTTAAATTTGAAATGATTAATTTAAAGTTTTGTTTTTTGTTTTTTAAATTAAACAAACACGTTTAGGTTTTTCTAAATGTTTATTATTTAATTGAATTTTGTTTTGATCAAATTAAAATTATATTCAATTTCTTTATTCATCCTTCTAATATCATTTAAAAAATAAAAAAATTAAAAAAGATTTTGTTACAAATTATTTGTGTTCCGGAAAAATTGAAAATACGAATGATAAAAGTGATAAAATTATCAAATTTTATATTAATGTTGTAAATAATAACTGCAATATTTCTTCATTCATTGATAACATATCAAAATTATCAATCCTATAAATTGTTAGCAAACTTTCTGCAAATATTACAAATAACAATTCGAAATGCATCTTTATTCACTGATAACTTATCAGAATTATCAATGTTACATTTATTAGCAAACCTTTTGCAAATAATAAACAAAATTATTATTACTATGGAATAGGAATCATTGAAAAATTTCTTATATGCATATAAAAATAAAAAAAAATATGTAAACAAAAATATGTAAACAAATGAGTATTTTCTATTTGCTAAAAAAAAAAAAAAAAAATTTTTAATACAAAAGAATAAACATTTTTCTCGGAAAAAAAAAAAAAATTTATCAATTAATTAATTAATTACTTTTTTTTTTTTTTTGTTAGAAAATTGATCGATAATAAAACTTTTTATTGAATTTGAATTTTTATTAAATTAAATTTAATAAAAATTTAGGAATACTTTTTTTACGGTCTTTTTTCTAATTTTTTTTTTTTTTTTTTTTCATTCTTTTATTTTCACTAAAATTTTCGAAGAAATTTTCTTCAGTTCATTGCCATCTATCTTTCCCATTTCTTTCTCATTCTTTTTTTTCATTTTTCACCTCATACAATCATTTCTATTATTCATTCACGTGTGCGTGTATGTGTGTATGTGCGTGCGTGTGTGTCACTGTATGTGTGTGTGTGTGTGTGTGTGTGTGTGTGTGTGTGTGTGTGTGTGTGTATGTGTCTTTGTCTGTGTTTGAAATTATAATGCATTTATGAGGAATAAGCGAGATCACGAACAAATAATAATTGTCAATTTAGATATTTCATCAAATTTTTATTATAATTCAATATGAAATGAATGTTTAGATTTTGTCACTAATTTCAAATTTTAAAATGAAAATTTATAAAATTTGCAAAATTTCCTTCTTTCATTTTTTTTTTTTTTTGTCATAAATGAAAGGAATTATTTGAAATGAAATCATTGTTTATTTATATCAAAATTATGTCTGGCAGTGATAATATAGCAAAAACGAAATGTCAAAGTTCATTTCTTGGCCGTTTGCTTCATTTCAATTATTGGCGAACCAGAAATGAGCCTGAAATGTATTATTTATTAAAGATATTTCTCAAATTATCACTAGCATAGATTAGATGAATTAATTAAGCATAAATAAATAATTTTATGTAAACTTCTTAGCAACTTTTTCTCTCTTTTTTTTTTTTTTTTTTTTTTTTTTTTTTGGGGGGGGGCATCTTTAAGTAATTAGGCAATTATTTCAATCATTACTTTAAGTACATTTAAATTTTATAAATAAAATAATAACATTAAATGATTTTTTAAATTTTAATTCAATTTAAATTTTGCTAAATTTTCATTTTTTTATGCAGTATAAATGATAAAACATCAAAATCATTGCTTATTTCAAATATTATTACTTTAAGTACATTTAAATTTTATAAATAAAATAATAACATTAAATGATTTTTTAAATTTTAATTCAATTTAAATTTTGCTAAATTTTCATTTTTTCATGCAGCACAAATGATATGAATTTATCATCAAATAAATCAAAATCATCGCTAAAAGATACTGAAATTGAATTTATCGATATTAGCGGCGCAATCATAAAATCTGGCTATCTTAGTAAAAAAATTTGGCGCTTTGGTCATTCTACCAGTTATTTTGTTCTTCGTAATAATGGCAAATTATGCTTTTATAAAAATGAAATAATTGCTAAAGATCGAAAGAAGTATAAAGGTTTTACCAATGTTAAGGTTTTAAATTAATTATTAATTAATAAAAATTATTATTATTAAAATTTCTCCCATAAATTTTTTTTTTTGCAAAAGCAAAAAAAAAAAAAAAAAAGAAAAGTAAAATCAATTTAGATAATTTATAATAGATAAATAAAGCAGTATATAATATATTGCTAATTTTATAATATAATTTATAATAAATAAATAGTTGGAATAGATAATTTAAATAAATAATTGGATAAATAAATAATTGGAATAGGTAATTTATAATAAATAATTGGAATTTATTAAAGTGATAAATTGAAATTAATCGCATAAAATTATGCAACATTTTAATAATAATTTATTAATTTCATTCTAAAACAATGTTAATATAAAATTTTTATCATTCATTCATATTTTATTTAGAAAAGCTTTTTTTTAAAAAAAAACAAAAAACAAAAAACAAAAAATATTTGAAGGATATTTATATTGTGCCAAAAGGATTGAAAGAATTTATAATTTATACAAAAAAAAGTATTTGGTATTTGAAAGCAAAAACAAGCCAAGATCGTGATGATTGGATTAAAAAACTTAAATCTATAAGGTTTTACAATTATTTTACTTTCTAAATTAATTATTTAATTTTTATGATTTCCTTTTTTTTTTTTTTTTTTGCAAAAAAAGCGGTGGATGAAATAATTAATATATAATTAAAGATGAAATAATCAAAATGCTTTTTAGATAAAATTGAAAATACATTTAAATGAAATTGATTCATCAATTTAAAATTAATTCGTTTTAATCATAGCAATAATTAAATTAATTTTATCATTATTTTCTTATAGGGCATTTTTACGAATGAAAGAAGAGGAAGAATTGAAACGAATTTTAAATCCTCAATTAAATCAGCAAAAAAAAATAAACACAAAAAAAATTATCACTGAGATGGATGAAACACTTCAAATAACGTATAAAAATTTACGTGAAGTAAGCAATTTAAATTTTAATAAATCATAATTAAAATGAATTTTAAACATTTTAATTATACTTTTTTCAAATTACATTTTTTTTTTATTTCGATTAGATTTTAATTATGTATTTTTTTTTTCTCAATGGATTATCAGATAGATTAGAATTGCTCTATGATAAGTAATGTATTAAGAGTAGGATTCAAAAAAAAATTTTTTTCTTAATTGAAATTAAATTTTTGTTTACTTATTTTTGCATTTAATTAATTAAATCTACAATTCCAATTAGCAATAATTGTATGCAAAACTTTTTAAATTGTTCAAGCATATTTGTTGAAATTAAGCTATTTTAATTAACATATAATTTTATTTAACATTAAGAAGTTTTTTTTTTTTTGTTAAATATTTAATCTGAAATGGTAATTTATTTATTTATTTTTTTTTTTTTTTAAAGCTTGAAGTGAAATTAAATGATTTTCGACATTCACTTTTGAATGGTAAACAATTTGATAAAATTCAAATGGCAGATATTGATGATACATCACATAAGATTATAAAAGATATTCAAATTAGTTTGCAAGCAATTAAAAGGTTTTTTTAATTTGTTTTATTTAAATTAATTTTAATTTTTAATTTCTATATTGGATTAGTTTAACTAATCAAAAATTTCGAATTTTTAGTGACATTTTTTGTTGAATGATTAAAATATTAAAACTATTATATCATATTGGCAAGTGAGAATTAATAAAATGTACTCAAATAATTTCATTTATTAAATTTTAAATAGAAATGAAATTATAAAAAATTTTATGTTTCTTATTTTTCTTATTATATTTCTTATTCAATTATATTTAATTATTTCAATTTTAGAATAAAATATAATTTTTTTTTATGATTATTATATGAGAAGAAAAAAAGAAGTAAGATTGAATAGAAAAATGTATGAAATTGAGTTAATTTTACTTACTATCATAACATTTTAAACATTTAAATTACATATATATAAGTAATCATAAATTAATTTTTTTTTTTTTTATTAATTAAATTTGTGTTTTATTTTAATTTTTTTTTTTTTTTTTTTGTTTCAGATATTTTATAAAATCAAAAAGTCTACAAAATGAAATGAAACGTATTATTCATGATTTAAATTATGAATCACAACAACGCTCAAATTTAATACGTCAAATAGAATTACAAGCAAAACAATTGAATTGCATTGAAAAGGTAATTTAGTACATTATTTATTTTTTTAATTATTATTTCAATTTTAGATTTTAATTATTTCTTACTTAATTATTTCAATTTTAGATTTTAATTATTTCTTACTTAATTATTTTAATTTTAAAAATTGCACTGAAAAGGTGTTTTAGTGCATCACTTATTTTTTAATTATTATTTCAATTTTAATATTTATTTCATTTAATTATTTCATTATTTCAATTTTAAATTTTAATTATTTCTTACTTAATTATTTCAATTTTAAAAATTGCACTGAAAAGGTAGTTTAGTACATCACTTATTTTCTAATTATTATTTCCATTATAATATTTATTTCATTTAATTATTTAATTATTTCAATTTTAAATTTTTATTGTTTCTTACTTGATTATTTCAATTTTAAAAATTGCACTGAAAAGGTGTTTTAGTGCATCACTTATTTTTTAATTATTATTTCAATTTTAATATTTATTTCATTTAATTATTTAATTATTTCAGTTTTAAATTTTAATCACTTCTTATTTAATTATTTTAATTTTAAAATGAAATATAATTCTCATTTATGATCATTAGATGAGAAGAAAAAAAAAAAGAAATGAAATGAAAGATTAAGAAAAAAAAGCTATATTAGAAATGAAATATTAAAAAAATTATCAAATATTTTCGCCTTGTTCTACTTATCACTTAATGTTATCATTTATCACTTATCACTACTGTGCTTCAGTCTGCACGATTAAAATCAAATTTTGCATCGGAAGAATTAACAAAGCTCAACGATTTACTTTTAGCTACTGAAAGTGAAAGTGAAAGAGAAATGTAATTTCTTTTATTTATTTATTTATTTTTTTGTTGTTCCATTTTTTTAATATATTTATTAGAAATTTTAATATTAGTGGAAAAAAGAAAACAATTTTAATAAATTATTATTGCAGAATTCATCAATGATATACTTAAAAAAAATATATATAAATCATAAAATTAGATTAGTTTTGATAATATTTAACTTTTTAGGGTTGGAATTAGCAGTTGGCAAGAAATTAATTTTAGTGAAACCGGAACTAGCGAATCAGTAAAAACGGAACATACACCTTCTACGGTATGTTATCATATATTTTTTTTAAAATATCCAAAAAAATAAATTAAACTATTTGAATTGCTAGAAAGTTTAATCTTTAAAATTTATTCATTTTAAACAGTTATTTCATATTTTGATAAAATAAAGTTTTAGATTAAGAAAAAAACTTCTTTATCTGCAATGCCAGTAGTTCTGAGGTTTGTTTTAATTTAATTTTTTTTTTACATGAAATGATGAAATTAAATTATATTATTTAAAAATAAAAAATTTTAAAATTTTTTCAAAAAAAAAAAAAAATCCAGCTAAGTTTAATAATGAAATATACAATTTGTTTACTTTGCATTGATCTATTTAACAAAAATAATTCAAATTAAAAAACATTTTTTTTAAAGTTTTATTTGAACAAAAATTTCTTCCATTCTTTTTTATCATTATTTTAATCTTTCTTTTTTTTTTTTTTTTTTTTTTTTTTTGTTCTTATTAAAATTTATAGCAATGCTGAGAGAAAACAAAATTTAACGAAATCATACAAACCATTTCTTACTTCACCAGTGGTATTTTTTAAGCAAGAACCAATTAATACAAAAAAACAGTAAATTTTTAAAAATTATCATTTTATTATTATTATTTTTTAAAAAAAAAAATGCAAATAAGAAAAAAATTTAAAATGAAGACAAAAATGTTAATTGGAAAGGATATAAATTAAAAATTTTAGAATAAAATTTTTTTGAAATGAAATAAATTAAATGAAAGAGAAAGTAAAGTAAAATGTAAGCAATAAAAATCAAATAATTATAATTTAAAAAAAAATTTTTTTTTTTTTTTTTTTTGTAGAGCAAAACAACGTATGCGGAAAAGGCGTACGCAAATACCGCAGCGGAAAAAAACTGGTGAATTATTCTTATAATTTCATCTAAATTAATACAAAATTATATTCATAAAGTTTTTTTTTTTTCCCATAAAGAGGGTAGGAAAAAAGTGGAAAAAATCATAAAATATATATTTGATCATTGGTCATTGGTCAGAGATGTCATTGTGGTCATTGCTTAAAAATGCATTGGGTAAAGAATTATACAAAATACCATTGCCAGTAAATTTCAATGAACCATTAAGTTTCATACAACGTTTAACTGAATGCTTGGAGTATTCAAATTTAATTGATAAAGCAGCAAAAATTCAAAATTCCGCAGATCAAGTAAAAACTATTATAAAAATTTTAATTTTTCTTCCTTTTTTTTTTTAAAATTTCATATTGAAATAGCAGAGAAAAAAAAAAAGTAAACAATTTACAAATTCTTAAAAAAGAAAATTTCCTTTTTTTTTGAAAATTTTTGTTTAAAAATTATAACAAATACATATTTATGAATGAAAATATTGTAAATTTATTTAAATTATAAAACTAATTGTAATTCTGAATTATGTTGGAAATTTTTTTTTTTTAAAAAAAAATATATATGCAATGTTTTTATTTATTATAAAAATTAAAGAGAAATTTGAAATGAATGATAATATTTAGCAGAAAAAATTTTTACACTTTATTCTTTTACAAATTTTTTTTTTTAATAGTTTGAAAATTAATTTTATATTTTCGGAATTTATATATGTTTAAACTATGATAAGAGCATATTAATCAAATAAAATTTATAAATTTTGAGATGATTTATGTTGCAACATTTGTTATTTCAACACTTTGCAATACGGTATTCCGGACATGCAAACCGTTTAATCCGTTATGGTGTGAAACATTTGAATTTGATCGAATGGCAGATCTTGGCTGGCGAGCAATTGCCGAACAGGTCTGTGCCTAAATTTTATTTCAAATTTTAAAATACTTTTTTTATTAGTCATTCAAATTATTTATATTAAAAAAAAAAAAAAATGAAAAAAATATGATAAAAAATTTCTTTCTTTCTGTTTGAGAAAAGAATTTTATTTTTCTATCAATTTTACAGAATTTTTTTTTCTTTTTGATTTTGGTTATGATATTTTATTTTATTTTAGAAGTTGTTTGAGAATAAAGTTATTAGCATATTGTTTGACCTTTTGCATGACCTAAATATTGGGAAGTTATTTAACCTTTTGCATGACCTAAATATTGGGAAGTTATTTAACCTTTTGCATGACCTAAATATTGGGAAGTTATTTAACCTTTTGCATGACCTAAATATTGGGAAGTTATTTAACCTTTTGCATGACCTAAATATTGGGAAGTTATTTAACCTTTTGCATGACCTAAATATTGGGAAGTTATTTAACCTTTTGCATGACCTAAATATTGGGAAGTTATTTAACCTTTTGCATGACCTAAATATTGGGAAGTTATTTAACCTTTTGCATGACCTAAATATTGGGAAGTTATTTAACCTTTTGCATGACCTAAATATTGGGAAGTTATTTAACCTTTTGCATGACCTAAATATTGGGAAGTTATTTAACCTTTTGCATGACCTAAATATTGGGAAGTTATTTAACCTTTTGCATGACCTAAATATTGGGAAGTTATTTAACCTTTTGCATGATCTAAATTCTACCACTTTTGTAGTCAATCATTTTTAATGGTTAATATAAATATTTTATAATTATTGTTATTAACAATTTTACTCATAAATAAACGCAAATTACTTTAAGCTTAGAGTTGGTAACGAAATTTTATTTGTAAACTTTTTATTTAAGAAATATGATTCAAAATTTCCAAAACTTACTTTCACGTATAATATAATTTGTTGAAACTTACCTTCACGTAAACATTATTTCATTTCAATAAGTTACTAATGTAACATCACAGTAAATTCAGTTCTTACTTATTCTTCCGCCACGTGCTCTACTTGATCTTACGCCACGTTTAATCTTACGTTACTGACTTTTCCCACCTTTTAGTCCTTTGCTTCCCTTTTTTTTTTTTTTTCAAACATTCGTAACGTAACAATTATATAAATCTAACATAGTTACAATTTAACAATGTAATTTATTCATCGAATAATTTCGAATAATTTCTTTTTTTTTATAAGTAAAAAATAATATTTCAAAATTTTAAATTAGCAAATTTAAAATTAATAGGTAAGTCATCATCCACCGATTAGTGCAATTCATGCAGAAGGAAATGGTTGGATATTAGATGAAGATATCGATGTGCATTCACAATTTCAAGCAACAATTATGAAAATTTATCCAGAAGGAACAGCTAGCATTTTTTTTCCGGTACAAATAATTTACAACATTCTTCTTTTCAACCTTTTCCTTTATTAATTTTCAATTTTTTAAAGTTTGATTTTTTTTTTGAGAGTGATTTTTTGATTGTTACATAAATATCCTTCTTAAGTTTTTTAATTTTCAAAATTTTAATTTTTTTTTAAAGGTGATTTTTTGATTGTTACATAAATATCCTTCTTAAGTTTTTAATTTTTAAAATTTTAATTTTTTTTTAAAGGTGATTTTTTGATTGTAACATAAATATTATCATTAGCATATGATAATTTTATTTTTTTTTTTCTTTTTTTTACAGGAAACAAAATCATTTTTTTATTGGACAATGAAAGATATTAAAACATTTGTAAAAGGTTTTATTATTGGTCCAATAACGGTGCACAATGAAGGAAATTGTGTTATTATGGTTTTTTTTTTTTGAAAAATTTCAGAAATTCAATCACAAAATATGCTAATTTTTGATCGTTAAAATGTTAAAATCATTTATTAATAATTAGATTGAAATGGATAGCATTTGAATAGTTTAGTAGTTAAAATTTAAAAATAATTATTAATTCATATTTTGGCGTAGCATTAATTATCTAAAAATTTTTGCAAGAATTTTTGAATTCTTATCAACAAATTATAATAAAAATTGTGAAAATGGAAAAAAGAAAAAATTATTTGAATTATTTAAAAATTGTTTATTATTACAGAGTAAACCGGATGGCATAAATTGCGTATTGAATTTAATTCGACATAAATTTTTCTCAATTGATAATGAACGTATTTTTTCCGGAACAATATATGACAAATTCGGAAAAGAATTATATTGTTTAAGTGGTGATTGGAGCCAGAAATGTACTATAGTAAAAGGAAATGATAAATTTAAGATAATTATTTGATTTCTTTTTTTCGTTTTTTTTTTTTTTTTTTTCCATTAGCAGTAAAATTTGCAATTCAAAAATATTCTATCAAATTTTTAAAATTATTAAAATCAAAATTAAATGTTAAAGCGTTTTTTTTTTTTTTAAAAGACAAAATGAGTAATGCTTATAATTTAGAAATAATGGAACTAATTTTAAATATTCAATATTTCATTTTCTTAAATATAAAATATTTTGTTTACTTTTTTTTTTTAATTCTTAACTTGATTTAAAAATTAATTGAAATCAAAAAATATATTATACAAAATTATTTCAAAAGTATTATCAATTTTATTTTTTGTTGGCTTTTTTCAAAAAGGTCAAATTATTTGGACAAGAAATGTGCAACCTAAAGAATCCGAATTAATGTACAATTATACAGCATTAGCAATTGAACTCAATGAACCAGAAGTTAGTTTTAAATTAAAAAAAAAAAAAAAAACTTTAAAATTTGACACACAGAAAAGTTAAACTTTAAAATATTAAAAACTAAAAAAAAAAAGTGCGAATGTGTTTATGCTAATATTTTGAGTTATTATTTCTTATTTTTATTTTAAATTCATCATTAAATTGAAATTTACTTTTCCTTCTTTCTGTTCTCGATTATATGAATTGAATTAAATTTTTACATGAAATGATTTAATTTCATTTTAAAAGATGGAACATTTCAGGATGATGTAGCACCAACCGATTCTCGACTTCGACCGGATATGCGTATGATGGAAAATGGTAATTGGAATGCGGCAAATGAAGAAAAAAAACGTTTAGAAGAAAAGCAACGTATTGATACAAAAAAATATCAGGTTTTCAGGATTCGGTTTTTTTTTTTCTTTTAAATTTTAAAAATTTAAATATCATTTTTTGTTTCTGTAAAGTTTCTGATTACTCATTTATCGTATTAGTTATTTCTGATTTATCAAGCTTTGCTGATAACAAAAATTTCACTGAATTTATATGTTTAACAAATTTTGGTCCTTGAAATAATCAAATTCATCATTTTAATTAAAATTAAAAATATTTTTTGCAAAATTTCTATACTTTGGATGTATTATTATCACTTAATGTGTTTTTTTTGAAATTAAATATGTAAATTTTTTTTGGAATTAAATATCTTTCATTTTTTTTTCTTCTATTCTTGACTGATTAATTTTAAGCGAACATTCTAACTTCATCTATTTTCCTCGTTTAAACTTTCTATTGCTAATTTAATTTTAACAATACTACATTATTTGTTATAATATAACTAACAAATCTAGGTATTACTTAAGTATTACTTATAATAAAATATAAGAAATATGTATAACAAAAATTTCTAAATAAGTATATCCTTCGAATTGCGCAAAAGGTCTTTTTTTGTTGTTGGATGGTTCAAAGTGCGCGTGGCTGTGACACCTAAAATTCATTTGACAGGTAGAAAAAACTCAAATAAGAATAGCCTAAATTGTAGGTATGTTTAGATCTACCCTAGTTATAGGTTAGAATTATCGTTGTTCTAGGATAATTATCCTAAAGGTAGTAAATTTAACCTACCCATGATTATATTTCATTTGATCTTTTCAAGTTCAGATTTGTTAAAGTTAGAAAATTTTACCGGAATCACATATTGCCATCGTCCAGTATAGCTTCCGGTATAACTTCGGTATAGCTTCGTAAAAGCTTTGTAACATGTCAACGTCATCATAAAGATGGAAATTGCAGAAATTGCAAAAGGAGAAATATGTATATATATTCAATGAATTGTTTCTTGTTTAATTTCAGGAACATTCATATAATTTCAGGTTTTCAGGATATGTTAGAGAATGGCGAAAAAATAATTGAACGACCAATATGGTTTAAAAAATGTTTTGATCATTGCTGTGGTACATCACGATATCTTTATCAAGGTCAATATTGGAAATGTAAAGAAATGAAAGATTGGTCACATTCACCAAATATTTTTAATTGAAAATGAAAATAATAAATTAATTGTAAACTTTTTGTTTTCATTTTTCATTTAAATAATTAGAATAAATAAATGCATATTGAATAGATGATTGTTTATTGTAATTTATTGAAAACAACAACAAAAAAAAAAAAAACAATTTAATAAGCTTATTGTTTATTCAAATTGTTAGTAATATAAAAATAGCATCAATAAATTTAAAAAAAAAAAAATGTAAAATATTTTTTTTTTGTTAATTTATGATAATTCTGTACCACACGTACACGGGAAACATACGTACGTATAATTGATGAATCATTCACGACACACTGGTATACTTTAATCATTTTTTGCAATTGGCTTAACAAATTCAACTATTTTGCATTTTTGTAAATTAAATTTATTTATTTTAAAAAGTTTCATTAGTAGAAATTTTTTTCCCCTTGTAAACACTAAAGTATTTTATTGTAGAATATTCCAGTGTAAAATTGAAAACCACAAGTGTGGAATATAAAATGGTGTGACCTTTAACCTTGCATGTTTATCTATATTTCTCTTAAAAGAAAAGAAATCGAATTGCTGTGAATCTGACGACATATACATATGTTTGTTTGGAGAATTATTTCATATCTTAAATTTTCGGACGACAAAGGGTTCCAATGGAGGACGAGTTCCAGTCGAGAGTTTACTTTCTCGATGAACTTATCATATTATCATTCTCGTCTTATCATGAAATACCCATTGATAGTAACATTACTTTATGATTTCTTCATTGTGACACGCTGTATTCAATGAATTGTGATCTTAAAAAAACTTTCTAGAAACTTTTGATTATATATTTTTGTTTTGATCTAAAATCTTTTGTATGAAATTTGCTATAATTTATTATTATTATAATTTGTTTTTTTGTTTTTGGAATTTGTGGTGAATTTTCAAAAATTTTTTTGCTCATTTTGATATGCTTTTTCAATATTTTCATTGTTTATAATCTTATTTTAGCTATTAATTTAGTTTCTATTAGATAATTTAGAAATCATTAATGATAGAAGTTATTTAACTCAAATTTCAAGTAAAATAAATAAGCAAAAATTTATCAAAATCATCCTGATAAGACATTTACTTTTCTATTTTCAGCCGTATTTTCTATCAAATACGTGTTTATACAGTCTAAAATGTTATACTTTACATTATAGTACACGTATACTACACGTACGTGAATCACTTTCTCATTACTAACCTATCATAAAGTGAATTTTTACGAAAACTATTAAAATCAGAAATCCATTAAAGTTTTTGAATTCTTTCAAATTTCAAATATTTTAATTCATTTATTATTCATTCTATATTGGCCTAAAAATTTATTAATTTAAAAAATGTGAAAAAATACAATTTCTTTTAAGCAAAAAGCGATGAATTAATTGCTCAAATTATTTCTCATATACTTCTCGAATCTTTTAAAATATAAAAAAAAATTAAATTTCCAAACTTTCTTCATAAATTTTTTAAAATTTGATGATCAATTAACTATCATTCAGTAGTATCGTTCATATATATATCTCAAATATTTCTCTCTTTTTTTTTTTCTTTTCACAAAAAAATCTTTTTTCATTTGATAACACCAATTATTTACATCAGAACATTAAAAATTTTCGTCCCAGACTTATTATAATATTTCGCAAAGAAAAAAGTTTGAATTTCATTTTGAAATATTCAAAAAAAAAAAAACTTTTCTATTTTTTGAAAAAAAAAAAAAAAAAAAAAAAAAAAAATTAAAACATACAATTCATTATGAATTTAAATTCCATAATTGATTACAAAATGTATAAATTAATTATTAAATGATGAAATTTATAATTGATTATATTAAATTTAATATATTCACTGCATCAATACTTCGTCATTATTTTCCAAAATAATTGAATGAAAAAAGAAAAAAAGACAAAAAGAATATTAAATTTTAAATTCTTTTATCTTTCCGCTTATTTAATAAAATAATTTTATGCTTTTAAATTTATTAAAATTAATAGAGAAAATCCCTCCTTCTACTTTCCCACCAAATGAAACAGCAATAGATATTAATGTATATAATAAATTTGCTAATACAAACATCCGTCTTCCAATTCTAACAACAAACGCTTCCTTTTCACAATTCACAATTCAATTCATCCTCCCTCCCTCTCTCTCTCTCTCTCCCTCTGTCTTTCCTTCTCTCTCCCTCTCTCCCTCTCTTCCTTTTATTTTCTTTTCTTTTTCCAACTGCTAAAATAAGTTGTGAAGTAATACTCTTTGCTCATCGATTCTTTCATTATTCCTCATTTTCCTGTCAGTTAGTCATAAAAAAAAAAAAAAACTTTTTTTTTAATTTTATCAAAAATCTTTCTTTTCTTTCTTTTTTTTGTTTTCCGTACTATTTTTTTTCTTGCGCTATAGACCGCTTATCTTTTCCGCTCCATTTCTTTTCACTTTTAAAATTATTCATTTCGACAATTTCTTCTCGACCACACACACATACACACACACACACACACACACACAGATGAAATCATTTGTTTCATCCATATTTTCACAATTTGTATGAAAAAAGGTAGAACGAATGCGTGCGGAATGCGGCATGAACATGTGATGCGGAAAGGAATAAATGTGGAACGGATGCGTAAACGTAAAATGTATTATGTGCTGCTTTTTAGATATGTTAGTAAACTTAATTGCTGGCCATTAGCACATGAAAAATTTAACAAAAAAAAAAATTGAATATGAAAATAAAGACGGAAAATAGTTTGTTATCAACAAATATATGCGGAAAGATGATTAAATTTGCCTAAATTTGCTTACAAATTAAAAGAGCAATGATCAACATAAAATAATTTCAATTTCAATTATAACGAGAAACATAAAATGGTTTTTTTTTTGAAATTACTTCATTCCGGAAGCATTAATTTCAGAGCCTAGAATTTGCCAAATTTATTTCGATCATAAATTTTACAAATTCATTTTTGAATAGTCTAATTATTACATATTCAAAAAAAAAAAAAAAAAAAAAAAAAAAAAAAAAAAAAAACTTCGTTCTATTATTTCTTAAATATTCAGATACAAAAAGGCATAGAAAATTTGTTAAACTTTTGCTTTTTTCGTACCTTCTTACTTACTTACTTTCTTACTTACCTACTTACTTACTTTCAATTAACTTTAGCATAATTGTATTCAAATACAAAATGTGTGAATGCTAAACAATCATTCAACTTTCTATAAAAGTAAATTGCATTATTTCTCGAATTTAAAAAAAAAAAAAAGTGAGTTTAATTTCTTTTTTTTCATTAGCAAGAAAAGAGTAGAAAGAATGTATATTATCAATTGAAGGATAAAAATTTGCTCTGTTCAATTGCGCCATTATTACTTTGTGATAGTATTGCTAAAATTGTAATAAACAAATTTAAAAAAAAAATAAAAAATCTTCGAAATGTTTGCTTTAACTTTGCTTTTTGTTTTTTTTTTTTCTCTCAAAACGAAGAAAAAAAAAAAAATGTGAAATATTTGCGTAGTGATTTATAATCAATCTAAATGATTTAAATTTCAAACTTTTTCACATTTATTTTTACTCTTTAACTACTTTCCATCTACTATTCTTTGTTGATTTTCTCTTTCAAATATATTATTATTATACTCTTCTTCTAATCACTTTAGATAAATAATTTTACAAATTACTACTGCTAATGTTGCTAGTGAAAATTTGAAAAATTTTTTGAAATTTTTACTACATTAAATTTAATAATTAAAAGAAAATTTTGAGTAGTAAATGTTACAACAATTCTTTTCTGCAAATTATTGACATATAAATTATTAATTATTAATTCAATTAACATATATCATTTCTATTTTTCACATAAACTATTTTAATATTTTAATTAATTTATTTTGAAAAGGATTAAATTAATATTTTAATCATTTCCATCGTCATTATTACTTTCTTGTTTTTTTAAAGTTTTATAATAATAATATTGACAATAATAATAATAAAAATAATAATATCAAAAGTGAAGTGATATTTGATTATTATGTTTGCATTTACAATCAATTTTAATAATTTAAAATAAACTATCAAATATTCTAAAAGATACTTTTATTAAAAACTTTTAATTACAAACAAAATCAAATTCACATTTCAAGTCTTAGCAGTGCACATTTGAATTTACTAAAAAACTTTCAATGATAGTAGTAAATAAGATGGAAATTGTTTTCAAATTATTAATGACAACATTTAATAAATAAATTATTTATATATTAATAATTAATTCAAAAAATCCCATTTAAATCATTAAAATTTCAGATTAAATCATTTTGTTTTTCTATTAAATTTTTTGTAATATATAATAATTGATGATTTGTTTACATGTTTTCACATTTCTTTTAATTATTCAAAAAAAAGAAAAGAAAAATCAATAACTTTTGCAAAAAATTCATTTTTACAATTTTTTTTTTTTGTTCCTTCTGAATGATAAATACCATTTAAAAATAAAAAAAAAAAAAGAAGAAAATTTTAAGATAAATTAACTTTTATCATTATCATTTAATCATTTCTATTTATCCATTAAATAACACTGAAAAATTAATTATTAGTCATTTGCATAAAGAGAAAATTTAAAAATTTTTTCCTTGTTTACACACCTTGCAAAATCTATTAATAAACATCATCATAACAAATAGATTAAGCTATAATAATAGCTAAAATATGAATATTTTTTTTTTTTTAGTTTTAAACAAAATAATTTAAAAAAAAAAAAGAGATAAGTAATAATTTTAAAATTTAACTATTCTTTTTTGCTCAACAAATAATTGCCATTTCTTTGATGCAAAATCATTATTTAAGTAAATTAGCATTTGAAAAATTTTTATTTTATTTTCTTTTTTTTTTTTTTTTTTCGACAAATTATGATTGTTTCAATAATTCTTTTCTTTTCTTTTTTTTTTTTTTTTTTTTTTTTTAACTTTACTCATTTTTTTTTTCAATTAGTTTTTGTTATTTTAAAAAATTGTAATTAATTAATGCATGAATGTTTGAATTAATTAGTAATGCCTAGCATTTGTTTTCATTAAATATTTTTCTTATTTTATAAAAAAATTACTTCTTCTATCGTTTAATTTTATTGTTTTTTGTTTTATTTTAATTTAAAATTTTTTTTTCAAAGTTTTATTTTCATTATTCGATTATTTAACAAATTATTTGCATTAAAAATTTTTCTTCCTTTGCCAATTGTCTTTAATTTTTTCATTTACAAAAATTTATTTATTCACATCTTTCTTTTCATACCTATATTTTAAGTTATTAATTACCTGTCAATTACCTGTTGAATAACATAATAGAGCAATTATAAAAGACATTTTGCAAAGACAATTCCGAGTGTCAACCTAACTTCATTTGAATTATAATCACAAAATGTTTCCAACAAATTTTAAATATAACAAAAATGTTTTTTTCACAATTATTATCATCACTTCAAATATTTTTAATCAGCAAGAAGCGCTAATGACTTTTTTGCGCCCAATTTTTTTTTTATTCATTTGAAGTTCTGATTATGATTTAGAAGTATCTTTTCACATTTGTCAAACTGATAATTATTTTTCAAATGGAAAACTAAAAATTGGAAAATGTTTTAACAAACTTTTATTAACAATAAATTTTTCTTATCATCAATAAAATATTCTCAATTTAAAAAGAAAGAAAAAAAGAAAAAGAAAAAGACATTATGTTTAAAATATGCATTCAAATTATTGATTTTTCATCTCTTTATAGGATAAAAAAATTTTTCCGGGAAAATTTTCCGGAAAAATTTTTTCCAGAAAGTTATTAATTTCATTGTTTTATCAAAAATACACAGAAAAATAAAAGTAATATGAAAATCAATTCCATTTTGATAAAATGAATGAGAAAAGGTAAAGTTTAAAATTGATAACACATTAATGATCATTTCATTTATTCAATAATTTAATAATTCTATTTAATTCTTAAGGTCTGATAAGTGATAAGATAGTTGAGCAGTTGAAATGCTTTTCAAATTTCAAAAAAAAAAAAAGAAATTTTCACTTCATCAGTGAAATTTTTATTGGAAATATTTATTGAAAAAAATGTAATAACTATCAAACAGTTTCTATCGCATATCATATAAATTTTAAATTTAAATTAAAATTTAAATGAGAAAATATAGTTCAAATTAAAAAATTAAATCTTCACGATACTATTAAATGTTTTTTATTAAATTGTTGAATGAATATGCAGGTGTGATAGATGTAAAAATGAAAATAATGATTAGAATTAATTGCTGCAATTATTGTATCTAATCAATTTGATAATTAATTAATGTCTTATGATAAGTGATAAGGTTAGTTGAGCAGTTGAGAAGTGTTAGCGCCGAAAAATCCAAATTCAGCGAGAGCATTAATGATACAGATAAGGCGAAAAGATCACCGGAAAAAACATTTTTGGAAAATTATTAGTGATAAATTTCAATTTCATTTTTCAAAGTGATATTTGTTTTGAAATTATTTCATCTAAAATATATAATTGGTAGCAAATTTAAAACTAACAATCAACAAATAAAAGATTAAATAAGTAAATAAAGTAAATATTTAAGTAAATAAAAGAGTAAATAAGTAAATAACAATAAGAAGCAAAAAATAAAAGAAAAAATAAGAAAAGGAAAGATCGAATTGATGTCTCAAAGGAAAAAAAAAAAACGATTTATTATTTAACAAAATAGTACAAATTGAGTATTATTTAACTTAAAATTTAAACTTTTAAACTTAAACCTTTAAAAAAAAAAATTAATAAAAAAGTTTTACTTTAACAAATTTCAAACATTTTTTATAGTACCTATAAAAAATACAAAAGTAAATCAATCAGGCTATGTTAATCAGTTATAAAATCAAATTATCAATAGTTATTATCATTGTTTGATGATTGTAAAATTGCAAATGATAAAATTGCATGGTAAAAATTGATTAGGTAATAATTATCAGTAAAAATACAGCAATTACACTGTTTGCAATATATTTCTCAATTCAAAATTTAAACCATTTCATGAAATGATAATGAATTGATAAGCTTATCACTAGAAAAAAAAGCACTCGACAAATGAAATTATTGAAACTTAATTGCATAAATCGAATCATCAAATTATCAATAAAAAATATATTATTCATAAATTTATACAATTTACATTAAAAAAATGTTTGAACAAAATATTAAAAATAAAAGTATGAATTGAATTATCAAATTATCAAAATAAAATAAAATTAAAACAATTTATATTAAAAATAATATTAAAAATACAATTTAAACAATTTATATTAAAAAATAAATACGTTAAAAATTTTCTTTCATAATTATTTTCAAAAATAAAAACAATCTATTAATAATTTTAATAACTTTTATCAAAGCACTTTTTTTTTTTAAAAAAAAAAAGGTAATAAAATAAATATTTACAAGTATTTTTTAAAAAAGAAAAATAGTAATTTAATGAAAATTTCATCTTTATTGTTACTAATTTTTCTTTTGTCTTTTTTTTTTTTCAGAAAATTTTTTCCAAAATGAAATTTTTAATGTTTGAAATAAAAAAAAAAAAAAAACTGAATATATATGAATAATATAAAAAATTGCACATAAAATTGAGCACTTAAAAGTTGTTTAAACAAATGATTGTTGTTACTTTGATAAGTATTGATAAGTAGTGTTATTACTGATAAGATATTTTGTCGAAAGATTAAATTGTACAATGATCAGTGATTATAGACAGATCAAGTAGATAGAAAATTGGGTATAAGAAATAATGAGAAAAAGATGGTTGATGGCATTTCAATGACATTTTAATGCCACTTTTTTTTTTGTTGAATTATTTTTATAAATAATTTTAATAAATGTAAAATTAATAAATCTGTACAGTTTATATTGATAATTTAAATAAAAAATATTTCATTTAATGTTTGTTTTATTAATAAATTTCATTTATTTATTTAATTTTATTTCATTTTTTCACTTTTTTATTTTTAAATTTTATTTTCAATAAATGTAAAATTAATAAATTTGTACAGTTTATATTGATAATTTAAATAAATAATATTTCATTTAATATTTGTTTCATTAATAAATTTTATTTCATTTTCTCACTTTTTTTTTTTCAAATTTTATTTTCATTTATTTATTCATTTATTTCATGTTTATCAGCAATTTCTACTATTTCAAAAATTTTTTCTTTGCTTTCATAAACAACCGTAATTTGTTTGTAAGTTGAAAATCAATTTTGCCAAAGATCACAATCTCCTCCCTATCTCTCCCTCTCTCTCTCTCTTTCTATCTATTTATAGAGAGAGAGAGAGGGAGAGAGAGAGAGAGAGAGAGGGAGCAGTAGAGAAGAAAAGAGATGAAATTAGGATATTCTTTCAATGAAATAAACATTTCATAAACGTAAACAAATGATACTAAGAATATATATGATGGAGTGAATAATTTTACCTTTAGAGTGTTTCTGTTCATGCTATTGGAATATGTTTACATTTCTGCTTGTTTACTTTTTTCATCATTACAAATAAACTAACAACGCATTTTGAAGCAATCACTAATTGATAATAGAAATCATTTAGTTCAGTGATGTGATTAATTGATAAATTGATATGAGATATTACACTAATATCAATTTTATTGATCTTTTTGTCACATGGTACTTCATTTGATGTCACAGCACAATGACAAATGAATGATGCAATTGCTCAAATATTAAATTATTGCTACTTTTCAGGTTATCAATTCGTTTCGTGGTGATATTTTTGATAAATGCAATAATTTGCAATAATAGTAATTAGTGATAATGATAGTAATAGCAATTTGTTAATAATTGCTATTCATTAATAATATGATCTTTTGTTTATAAACTGGTAATTGCTTTGTTTACTGCAATTATGAGTGTTTTGTTAATTATGAATTCTCATGTATGATTATTACAATAATAGTAATTAATAATAGTAAAATAATAATAAGTAAAAATAGTATTATCATTATAAACATTGTTATCATTTGTTATTCTCATATAATTGTACATTTTATTTTGTCTTCTTAAATTATCAATAAAATGTTATATTATCATTATAAACATTGTTATCACTTGTTATTCTCATACAATTGTACATATTACTTTGTCTTCTTAAATTATCAACAAAATATTAATCATTACAGATTTTAAATAATATAATGATAAGAAGATAATATGCTCAAATAAATTAATCATCATTTTCCACTTAAATTCAATAAGTAATCCCACTTGAGAAGAAAAAAAAAAAAGTCATCGCTGAGAAGAAATGATGTTAAAATGATGAAAATGTCAAAAAAGCGAATATCATTTCTTTCAATAATTATTAGAAATTATTTGCTACAAATGTTTTTTTTTTTTGATAACAAAATATTCCATTTCATTTCTGATCACAAATCTTATCACTGATCAATAAATATATCATGCAACAACTCTAACAATTTGATAATTTGAAGTTTTCATTAAAAATGATACAAATATGAATCACAAATAATAATAAGATGCTGTATAATCGATTATTTTCTTTTCTTTTAGAAGGGATTAAAATTTTCTAAATTATTATTTTTTAAAAATATAAAATGCTAGTAGAGCAAATATTTTATTTATTTTATTACTAACTTTGAATTTCAATAATAATATTTTCGTTCGATCAATTCATTTATCATTTTCTATCAATAAGCATGAATTGAAGAAAATATATGCTTAAATGAAATATTGTTGCAAAAATCATTCATTCAGTACTTTTCCTCTTGTCAAAATAAGAATAATACATTCAACTTCGATTGTTATTGATGCTAAATTTGTCATCTTTGTAATCATTTGTACTTCAACAATTTTTCAGACACTGATAAAATTTAACGTTTTTTTCTTTTATCTTTTTTTTTTTTTTCTGGTTCAAAAAATTTTCATTCTTATTTATGGTAAACAATTGCTAACATATCATATGGTTCATTAATCGATTAGATATAATTCATTTTAATTTGTAAAGTAAGATGAAAATTTAGAACGAAAAAAAGAATGCAGAAAAAAAAAAAAAAAAAGAATTTTAATTATGGATGTATAAATTCATCATCATATTGATTAAATTTTTACATTGCAAAAGAAGGCAAAAATAAGATTGTTTACATTTTGCAGAAAAAGTTAACCTATCACAGTTAATTATACAATCACAGAATAAATGTCAATTACTTCTAAAATATCATTCGGAATTTCAAACATTGAAAGAATAATATTTCATATATTGAAAGAATGTTAATGAGAAAAACAAAAAACAGAAAATGTGTACAACTTTTATATAATAAATAGTAAATTTATGTGATGTGCATAGTTATCACAAACAATTTTGATCGAAATGTGTAAAAATTTTTGTGACTGACTGATAAGAAGAAGCTTCTTTTCTTGTTCAAATTTAAATTTCATTATTGTATTTTCATGTCAAACCACTGTTTTCTGCACAAGCAATCAAATCTAATTATTTGCAATTTTAATTAATATCACCAAATCCTGAATTGATGGATTATTAATTTCAAAAATATTAACAGTTACATTTTCAAAATAAAAATGAAAAGATAAATGCTATGTGTATCAAATATTTTCCATAAAAAAAGGCGGTTTAATGAGAGCAAAAATAACTTAAATAGTTGATAATCTAATAACAGATAAATCCTCTATATTGCTAAAGATATCGAACAGAAAGTATGAAAATTCTAAGAAATTAATTCTAAAAAAAAAAAAAAAAAAAAAAATTTGAAATTCTAAAAACGAAATTAGGCCAAGAACAAATATCATCCAAAAAAAAAAAAAATAACAAGAAAAAAAACCATATGCAAATCATTCATTTTGCACAGTGGCAAGCTTAACGGATAATACCTAATTATAAAAGATAACAATGTGCTTCTCTAATTATTCATTTCATCTCTTGACCCTTGACCTTTCCCGATGATTATGGCTTCCGTTCAAAATGTTAGCAACAGCAAGTGCAAACTTACTGCTATACTAAAGAAAGATTAAAATATTTTTTTATCAAACAATGATGATGCTGAAATTTTACAATTTAAAGAAAAACCCCAGAATTAATATATATTCATTTGAAATAAAAAAAAATTTTTTTTTTGAATTAAATGAATTTCACTAATCAAAAAATGAATTTATTACATATTTTTGATGCAGTAAGTAAATAAATAAAATTGTTAAATTATAGAATACTTGATTATCGATAGAATACTTGATTATCCGATCAATATGCAAATTTTCATCATAGTTTTATAAATTATTTGTAACAAAAAAAAAAAAAAAAATGTGTATAATTCATAAGTTCATTTAATTAACATATATCATTAGAAATCTGAAAATATCAGTTTCCCATAAGTTAGAAAAATGTTTGAAAAAAAAATCTTTTTTTTTTTTTACTTCTCATTAATTTTACTATTTTTTTTTGCATTAATTAAAAGTTATGGAATATATGTGTCGTAGAGAAATACATTCGAACATTACGTAAGTAAGTGACATTAAAGAATAAACTAATAGTTATATGCATGAAATAAATTATGCGTAATCTCTGGAACAAATTTACGTGATATATTTATCTTATTTTACGTGACATATTTACGTGATGTATTTATCTTATCTTACGTGATATATTTACATGATGTATTTATCTTATCTTACGTGATATATCTACGTGATGTATTTATCTTATCTTACGTGATACATCTACGTGATGTGTTTATCTTATGTTACGTGATGTATTTATCTTATCTTACGTGATATATCTACGTGATGTATTTATCTTATTTTACGTGATATATCTACGTGATGTATTTATCTTATCTTACGTGATGTATTTATCTTATTTTACGTGATATATCTACGTGATGTGTTTATCTTATGTTACGTGATGTATTTATCTTATCTTACGTGATATATCTACGTGATGTATTTATCTTATCTCGCATTTATCGAACATCTTTTTCTCTAATTACATCTCTACTTTTTTCTAATAATTTATCATCATTACCAAATATTTTTGATCTAAATTGTACGATAATAAAGTACTTGAATAATACATTTATATTCAAATTTTTGAATAAATAATGAATAATTTCTATTAGCCATAAATTTATTTATTTTTTTCTTTTTCGAAATCATTTGAAAAAAAAAAAAAAAAACACTTACGTTACTATCTGAAGCATAATTGAATGCTTTTTTTCCTGTTTTTTTTTTTTGGCGAAATGATTGTTAACATTCATTCCAATCATACATTTCTAAATTTTGGAAATTTTTGAGAAAAATAAACTTTTTGCAAAAAGTTTATTTTCAATAATAATTTATTTATAACATTGAAATAAAGAATGAAAGGAAAAAGAAAGACAAATTAAAATTTAGAATTTAAATAATAATTTGAATGAATCAATGATTGTTAATAAGGAATTCTCGAGATTTTCAACAATAATTAAATTAATATTTGCTAATTTTCTCATTGCAATTTAAACATAATATACTTATTTATCACATATATTTCCCTTTCTTTTCCTTTTTACCTAAAATTAAATTTGAATTTTAAGCAAAATTTATACAAATTAAAATATAAATTATAGTTTGAGGTCAAAGGTTAGCTTAGATTATTCATTTCTTATAAAAAACAAATATTTTATCACATTTTCAATAGTAAATTTCAGAAATTTTTATACAACAAATTAAAATCATAAAAATTTGAATTAATAAATTAATTCAAAAACATCAAAAATTTTACAATCAATCAAATTCTCATAATTTGACCAATTAATTCCAAGTGAAATTACCCGCGATTTCTCGGAAACTAATCGTAAAAATTTGCACATATTTGAGGCACTATTTCGCATCTGCCCATTTCAGCAATACCAAAAATTGTTTATAGGACGCGTGCGGAGTAGTGAGGCGTGCGTGCTGCGTCGCGTGCGATCTCATTGCTATTATAAAAGAGGCGTTAAAGGCGGTTCCTGCAATCAGTGTTGGAGCTGTAGTCAGCGGTGACGTTGTTTAGCACACATACACACACATACACACACACATACACGCACGCACACGCGCACGTACACATACAGGTACATACACACGTGCACGCACGAGCATACGCGGACACACTCACGCGCTCATATACATACGCACGCATACACGCGCCCACGTGTACACATTGTCGAAGTATACGTGCAAATACACGTATACATATAGACGTAAGCTTGCACATAAATATAGAGTAAGTGGACAGTCATCTATAACAAAGATACGTAAACGAGCATACGTTTACGAAGTGACCTTCACACTACAGTAATAGCAGCAAATCGGGTTTGGTTGACAGAGGGAAGGGAAGTTTTAGTGGTGTGTTATAGCACTAAAACGATATACGGTAGAAAGTAGTACGGTTTAGATTAGTTAGTTCACCTTTGACCTTCCATTTTTCCTACATTGGGTCTCTTCATTTGAACATTTTCAAATTCCACGGAACCATTTGAAAAAGCCCATTTTTTTCTTCTTTTTTTTTTCTTGCTGGGGACATTGGTACGGGCTATTTTAAGTGACAACCGATCACGATGACTGCAACTGTCGTAGACCAACCCGATAAGCAACAAAATCAGCAACAAGATCAAGAGCATACTTCGAAGCAGCATTTATCAGAACAACTGCAACCAGAACATGATATTATTATTGCATCGATGGAAGGTACCGATGACGAAGTTGCTGTTGCAGTTTTGCGTGACATTTCCACCGATGAAAGCTATCAAACAACCGTGGAAAATGATCCAAAGAATGAGCAAAATTATTCTGGAAGAATTCCAGATCACGGGGTTCTTTCGGCAAGTTCATCACATGCAAAAACAAAGAAATCACGTAGAAGGTTTGCATTATTCTGTTTTTTTTTTTTTTTTTTGAATTTTTTATTTCTTAGAGTAATGAAATTTCTCAGAAAAGCCTAGTCTTTTTTTCTGTTTTTATGAAAGAATTTATCCTTTTATCATTTTTTTTTTTCTATATATTTTATGGGAATTGCAGAAAATTTTACTAGCAACTAAGAGAAAACAAATGATAATTTAGATAGAAGATAATTATATGCATGAGAATATATTTATTTTAGTCACCAGAGACAAAGTTAATTTAGTTTTAACTATTATTTCATTTTTGGTATCAATAGGAAGGTTTTTTATATTACGTTCTTCGTTTTGTAAAACCATTGTGAAGGGTGTTTTTTGGTTTCAGTGATTTTGATTGTGTAGTTTCTAAGAGATGTTAGTTCACTGTTCATTTTCTTAATCTTTTGATAAATAAATCAATAGTAAAATAAGGTAAAGTTATAGGAGGGGTGGAAAAGGACGCTGGAAACCATACCGCACATCGCTGAAGGAAAAAATTGCCCAGGAAGAGAAGGAAGAACGAAATGCAGTAGAAAAGCGAGAAAGGTTAGTTCCAATGAAACCATTTTGGGCCCGATTTGGTTAGGTCAGTAACTTAATAATGTCGGGCTTTGCTGCAGCTCCTTCAGCAGGCTCTTCAGAATAGTTCCTTTAAAATACGTGAAAAGCCATATCTGCATTTTGAATCTTATGGAAGTATATATTTAACAGAAGATATGTTTAATGGAAAGTCAAACTTGATGTTTCACTTGTAGACTTTCACCCAACTATTTTTAGAATACCTTAGGTTATATTTTATTCGGTAAGTTTATTGTAAAAGATTCAGATTTATTTACCAGTCAAATTCAGTTATTGAATGAAATCAGTCATTCTCAAACAATATCTGTTGGAATTGATGTGTAATTATATTATGGAATTGATATTCATATTCATTGCATGTGTTTGAGCCTTACTCCTTTGTATGTCTGGTGGTCAGTGATTAAGGTGCAATGAAGTGCAGAACAACTACATTATAAATGATTTTTAATAAAAGTTGCAAACTACTAAAACAGCAACATAGCAAGACAGATGTAATTTCAAATTTAGAGAGGGAACTGAAGTTTGATTTACTACATGTAGATTGTTTTTTTTTATTCGAAGTATAATCAAATATAAAGTGCAGTATAATCAAGCATAAAATGAAATATATCTTACCAGTATAGATACGAGTATATATTTTGGAACAAATAAGGAGAACACCTGATTTATTCTATTCCATAAGAATAGTATGGAATCTGCGTGATCCCGTAAGTGGAGACTGAGATGCGTGATCCCGTAAGCGTTGTTTCCTGGAACATTTGTCGAATATTAGTGAGCAGATTTAAGAAAAATCTCTGAAAACTTTAACTACAAATGTCCCGAACTGAGTGAAATCGATTCTAAAGTTATGAACGATTCTTTTTTAAGACTGTTTTCACGTGGTAAGCCTATGGCACCGTACAATACGACGCAATTCCTAGTGGAAGATCATGAGAAGCGTACGATGCCGCCAGATGTCAGCGATTCGTTACCTGCGATGGTTGCACATCAACGGCAATCTACAGGAGTATTTTCACCAGCTCGTGAAAGGTTTATATTACTAATAATAGAATTTTTTTTCTTTTCATATTACGTTCTTCAGTATTCCTGTACTTGTTTTCATGATTTAAACTCTTGCTATACTATACATGGCCTAGGTTTAGTTCCCACTTCTCTATTATGTATGCACAAGAATCAATAAGATTTGATTCTGGTATCCTTATATAATGTGTGCACTGGTCGCTAATGATGATTCAGTTCTCTAAGAGCTCCATGAAACAATAGACATTTGTACTATTATTACTATGATATTTGGTTTAGCTCGCACCTCTTATTATTTAATTGTAGGAAGAAATTATAAAAGCAGTTTTTCATTCATCTCTTATAATTTCGAGTGGATCAATAATTGTTTCCTAGAAAAAAAAAAGGAGTAATTCTATATGACGTCAAGCATGAAGTATAACATCACGTGTTAGCTATTACGGCAACGTAATTAAAGTACAGCTTAATAAAAACTTTTGTCCAAAAAAAATTAAATCGGTCCAAATTTTTCTAGACGTTGTTTGCAATTATGCTAAAAAAAATGTGATGAGCGTATTGCGACAACAACGTATATTCACATACATACGCGCATGTGCCACGCTCTATTTTCGATCGACTCTGAAAATCTCCAAAGGCGAGCAGATTTTCATATAGTCGATTTGGCGAGTCATTCAATTCCTGAGCACCGTGATGCTTAGCTTCGGAAATTGCCGGAATGTAGAATCCGCAAGAAATGATAACAGTAACAGTAGTGGTAACGAAACTGGCAACTCAAGGCAGAGGCAGGGATCTACTTATTGTGTTGCATTTGGGATGAGATATTTTCAGAGTGACAGTTTTTTGTGTGGTGGCCCTTTCATTATAAGGGCGATTGGTTATAAAGAGGGAATTTTAGTAAATGAAGGAAAAGAGTTTCCCGTACTGAGAATTCGTTCCATTTTGGTTGGTGATGAAGATTGATTTATCCCAATTTGTCCAATATTCTGTTCATATAATAGAGACTTGTTTATGTGGTCAGGATATTTGCAGATTTTTCGTATGTTCTATAAAACGTTTGGAAGTTAAAGCAGCCCTTTGCAAACATATGAGAAGAGCTCTAAATGCATGTTCTTTTCTTTTTCATAAATAATTCATTGGTAAAATTATTCGCTTATAGATGTGGTACCATTGGTCAGTCAGGATCTGAAATGGGTGGTAATACAACCGACAGTGCAAGTTATTCAGGTGCAGAAGATGATGAGATGGAGCGGCAATTTGATGCTGATTATGATTATGTCAATATGGAGCGCATCAGTAATATGACTAAAGATGATGTAATGCTTCTTACTTTCTCCTCCTTGATGTTAATGATGATATTAATCAATAGCTGGAGGAAGCATGAATGTAGTTCAAGAGACTGAGCTTCGATTCATTTTCAGATTCAGTTAGTAATGTGTACTCCTTGTGACTCTTTTTGCATCCAACATTTGGCGATGTTATTAAAAAAAAATTTATTTAAAAGAGTTACTACAAGAAAAAGAGGAACATATATAAACTAGTAATGAGACGAAGATTGTTAATAAAATAATAATTTTATAAAAATGGTGATGATGATGGAAGCTGTGCGCGTATAAGAATTCAAATGCGAAGGGAAGAACATTTTAATTATTAATTTTACAAGGTTAAGTAACCTAAATATATGCATTTGTTTCAGGTTGCACGAGAATATATGCATTTGGAAAAGATTAACGGTAAACTAGCGGATCGCGTGAGTTTCCTACAGTTAGAAAATGATAAATTGAAGCAAATGTTAAAAGACCATAATATTTCTTATGAAGATGTATTACCAAAAATACGACGACATAGTGGTACATCGGTTTCGGAAGCGGGTGATGTGGTACGCAAAAGCGTAGATGAAGCCATGGGCAATGGCAGACAGTAAGTGGTAGAATAATCCGGTTTTATACATCTACAAATTAATTTTAGTTGTGATTTGTAATTGTGGTCAGTGTTGTAGTTTATTTTCCTGTAAAGAATTTGATTATTTTCTTATGTGAAGAGAAACAGTTTTATCAGGAATTGTTGAAAATTTCCGTTTATTCTTTTTCTGTTATTTCACTCTTTGTTGCTTCACTGGCTATAACTTTAGTAATGATTGTTTACTGGGTTTGTTTTATGTGCTGTATATTTCTCTATTTATATTTTTAACGTGTACATTACTAATTCCTACGGGATAGTGCTTCATTGAACTGATTCATTTAGTATTGTTTTTTTTTTTTTTTTTCTTGATTGTTTGGGAATGGTTCTCATTGTGATAAAAATTCCGAACTTTTGAAAAAAAGTTTTAAACGATTTCATTCTTCGAAAATGAACTTGAAACATGAAGCTGAGCTATAAAGCAGCTTTTCTAGGTTATATAATTAAGCTTACGCAACACGGCTGAAACTTAATCGGTTTTTAAGGTAAATCTGAAGTTTATTTTATTATTATAGGATATCTTCTGTCTTCGTGTGCTTATATCTATGTGTACGTTGCCTTTTTCTTGTTTGCTAATTACATTGATTCCTTCTGTTGTAAACCTTTCATAGGAAAATGAACAATCCGGGTATAACAAAAAGTTTCATGTATTTATCTGTTCTTTCGTGTGTTGATGTTGGTGGTGTTTGAGAGCTCAAGAAACCTGCAATTTAGGCTGGAACATTAGCTAAAAAGTATTGAAAGTCTGAGACTGACATTTTCCAAAAAACGTTTTGCAAATTGTATGGGAAAAAGACAAATTTTGGATTGATCAAATTTACCTTATCAATGATTGCAGCTATGAACAGTAGAGTTGGACATATCTGGTTTTCTTATTATCCAATTTGGGAGTTTTGATTTTTTGCCTTTTCTATACAGAGAGCAGGAAGTTGAGGTAGGCACGACATTTTTTCTTGGAAGTCACTGATCATTTTTTTTTTTTTCACATTTTCCGGAACATTCGATAGCATCATTTGAAAATTCCATGTTTCTCTGTTACTTTTTTTAATGATTTTTATGGTCCTTCCAGCATTTTTGTAAAGTCACATGTTTTTAATACAATCAGTACTCAGCAGACTTCGATCATTGACTGATTCTTCAATGTGTTTTGTACGGTTTTTTTTTTTTTTCAAATTTTAATACGGTGGCGAAATTAGGTGTCACTTTGACTGCACCGGAGACCATTAGAAAAATGGGGGGAACATTTTAACATTCTTAAGCATTTTTTTGATTTTGATTAGAATTATTTTTGTTTTCATTAAAAGGATGTGTATAGCTGAAATAATTGGATGACTTACTAAGATGCAAAGGTAAGAAAAGATTAGTCTTCAGATATTTTCGATATTTTTATTAAATGCTTGAGAATTCTCATATAAATGGTCTGCTTATTACTTGAACATTTCATATCATTAGTTATCTAGTCCAAAATTAATACACCTCTAGGCGATGTTTTTATTTGTTCAGAAATGTTTTATTGTCATGGATTATTATTGCAGGATAGAAATGAAATTGAAATTGGTAACAATTATCTAAATAATTATTGTAAGAAACTGTCTTTTACTGGTTCTTGTTTTTGTTGTATTATGTTTCCTAATGTTAGTCACGGGAACTGATCATTCAGCTAATCATTCTATACGTAAATTCCATCATAAAAATCCATCTACAAACAATGGTTTTTTTTTTTTAGGTGCTACTGTGTTTCCAGCTAATTCTCAATCTTTGTGAAATGAGAAAAATGATAAGAGTTGTCTTATTTTGTTGCAGTATTTAATTACAGTCATTAATTTTAGAAGTTCATTGTGCAAAGAAAAAAAAAAAAAAGTCAAATTATAAAAAGTACTTATTGCTGAATCATTTTTCTAACGTGTATAAATGACTGCACAATGATCTATTACCAAGTGATTTTAAGAGGAACTCTATAAGAAAAAATTAGAATCAATTGTTCACTTGTAAGTGTTTTGAACATTGAACATTAAAAACATAAATAATATTTGAGAGGAATGGTATATAGTTTTTCAGAGGAATGTATTTGAAATCATTCATCTTCCACTGATATAATAATGTCCTCTATCGTCGTACATCGTCACCATTATCATCATTATTTGGGTCCTTTTCAATGTCATTTTCATCATTCGTTCCTTTCGCTTCAAACCACTGCTGATGTTATTAACGAACATTTTTCTGTCGATACTTCTGCAATATTTTACAACTAGTACTACTGCTAATGGAACAAATATTTCCAAAATTTCTATTGAAAAAGTATCAGAGGAAGAAAATGAAATTTTAAATGAAAATGAGCTAAAAAAGCCTGAAGTTAAGCTAAAGCAATGCGAACATGTTGATCCATACGTGGAGTAAGTTTTAATAATTTTTTTGAATTTTCAAAATTGTTTTATCTCTTAGAGCACATATCCTATCTTCATTCATCATATCATTTTTTTCCTAAAACTCTTTTTTTTTTTTTGAATTTTACACTTTAACTGCATTTATTTATTTATTCATTTTCTATAGAAGTTAATTTTTAGATTTTCTATAGCCCTAAGATCTGAAGCATTTCTATATTATGTTAAGTTTCATAGATGAATGTGAATAATTTTAAGGGAATTATTTCAGTGTAATATCTTGGTCAACAGTTAATGCTAATGTTAGCAATTGTGATCCAGTTACACCAAAAGAAAGTAATATGATAGCAAATGAAGCAGGGAGACAACGATATGAATGGGGTATCAAGAAATTTGCTTATGATGTAGTGACAAGTGATAAAATTGGACCACGTCGTAAATTATCGCCTGTTTATCATGAATTGTAAGAAACTTGTTATGAAAATTTTTTTTTAGGATTTTTTGTAATATTTTATGATCGATCATTCATAGAATTTCCCGAATTTTTATATCTTAAAAGTTGAAATGATACTTGAAAAGATATTGCTACAACTTTTATCCTCATATTGACGATTTGTTCATTATATTACTGTATAAATTGATTTTCGCATCCTTTTTTTTTCTTTTTTTTTTCTTTTTTTTTTTTTTTTTTTCAGTTATTGACAAGCTTTATTTCACTGAAAAATTTATAATGTTTAAAATTTCATCCTACTTTGCTAGTTTAATCCTATTCAAAAATTTATTTGTTTGTTTTTTTTTTTTCTTTTCAGATGTGAAACATTACCTCGCAATATCAGTTTAACTGTAAGCATAGTTATTATTTATCACAATGAAGCATTGTCTGTATTAATTCGTATGTTAAACAGTATTTTCGATCATACTCCATCTAATCTTCTTCAAGAGATTATTTTATATGATGACTATAGTGATTATGATACAATGCTCATTAATCACGTTATCACTTATGGCAATTATGTACAATGGCCAATGGAAAAAATAATCACGCAGCGTAGTAATGAACGCTTAGGACTTATTAGAGCTAAGGTTAATTATTTTTAATCAAATATCATCTGGGAATTTTTTATTAAGGAATTAATTTATCACTTAAATAGGAAGTAAATTTCTGGCGAGGAATAAAAAATTTTCTGCCGGAAGTGCAGTTAATTTTAAAAATGCGCTTACTTTAAATTTAGGCAAATCTGTATAACTTAAATAAATAGTCACAGATAAAGGCACAGGTAGCAATCTTTTGCTTCGCAATATTGTAATTTTTATTTTCAGGTGTACGCATCACGTGTGGCCCATGGTGATGTTCTCATATTCTTGGATAGCCATTGTGAAGTAACTCCGTTATGGATTGAACCTTTACTGCTGCCAATACAGGAAGATTCCACAAGGTCAGAGAGTAAAATAAATTATGTTTTCTAATTTATATCTACTCATATATAGGAATTTGTTGATAAAGAGAATAGCTAAGCAAAAAATCCTCGTATGCTGTAGATTTCATGATAAGTTTTCTCGGATCAAAACAGGCCAACAGGTTCAAAAGTTCATTCTAATAGCAAATAATAAGTAAAGAGTATCTGAGATCAAAATGTAAACGTTATGATATTGAAAAAGCCAAAACTTCTACTTAAATTATGAATAAAATCAAAGCAGTTTAGAGTTGTTCTTCCAGTCGTTGATTTAATTAGTGCAAAAACGTTTGAATTTTCCAAAGCAATGATAGCAAAAGGTGCATTTAATTGGGATCTTGAATTCAAGTGGAAATATATTCCATGGGAGTATTGGGATTTACCGGAAAACAATATTAAACCCTTTCGGTTGGTATTCTGTGTTCGTTGTTTTTTTTTCTGATAGCTACCACAGTTTAGCACCAGAATTACTATATATAATAATGTTGCAGCTTAAAATGATTTTTATTTCTTCTGTAAATTTATTATTAATTCTCTTAAATAACATTTTCCAAGTGGTTGGAAATTGAATAACGTTTTCCAAACATTTAAGCATTTACATAGTATTATAACTTGTGAAACAAATGAAATGGATTGGGGAAATAGTTTCATAGCTCGATATTCTAACAGTTTCCTCGACCAATATAATCATAATGAATAAAACATTGCATTGTGAGCAGGATAGATTCTGATAATTTTGAGATTCTAGATATTTGTGATATTCCAAGTATTTCTGAGAAAATTATAGTATTTTTTTTCTTTTTTTTTGCTTATAGATCATCGACTATGTCAGGCGGTTTACTAGCAATTGACCGTAAATATTTCCATGCAATGGGTGAATATGATACCGGAATGGAGATTTGGGGAGTTGAAAATATCGAAATGTCCATTCGGGTTCGTAGAATTTGAAACATTCATATATATCGTTCCATACGTTAATATCTGTTTGCTATAACTTCTTAAATGGTCTAACTGGCTGTAAATTCGAGAATTTGATGATTATCGTTAAGTGTATTGCGGCTTAGTCCGACATACTGAATTGAAATTATTAATAATAATGATAATACTGAATTTAATTGGGTATTGTAAGAGTACTTAATGCTGAGTAAAAATAGGATCGTTAATGAGAAATTCCATCGCAAACTTGTGATCGATTCACAATTTCCACATTTGTCATAATTTTCATAACTTCTTCACATATTCACAGCTGCTATATTGATATCAAAACGTCGACCGATCCAAAATATTGTTCTAACCAACTTTAGTATTAAAATATAACTAGTGATGTCGCTAATATCTGATAAAATTATCAGATTCAGAAATATTTAGATATGGCTTTGCGGTGGATCCATCTTAGTAGCACCATGCAGTCACGTTGGCCACGTATTTCGTACGCGTCGTCCATATACGAACAAACCAGGTGTAGATTCAAAGTTATATAATTCGCTACGAACCATTAAAATTTGGTTCGATGATTATGATGTGAGTCGATGCTTCATTTTTATTTTACTAAAAGTGATGAACACTTGTCCTTTCAAAAAAGTGGTAATAGCAACAATAATGTAATATTAACCTATGGTAGGGTATAGCTGAGATTTTCAATACATATCTTAGAAGGTTTTAAATCGGATAAGTGAAATAATTGGCCTAGAAGAATGATAATATAACACAGTTATAATACATTTACTAGGAGAAATATCTCGAGTGCTTTTAGTAATTATTAATACTAAATATTTTATCATAGTTACTGAATTTTTACTTGACTTATACTGCTATGAAGTTCTTGTTGTTAAAAATGCAACAGATACTATAGTCATGGTATATAAAACTAATATTCTCAAAAATTTTGCTTAAAATAACTTCAAGTTAAGCTCGATTTTCTGAATGGAAGTTATATCCTTAAAGTTATCTTATTTCTCCATCTGAATTCATCGCAAAAACAGATACCTCTTCGGATGTGTTCCCTTCCCTTTTCTGAACCTTCAACACTTAACACTTCTTTTTTTTTTTTTTTAGAAATACTTCTATGAGAAACGACCGGATGCGAAAGGAATGAAAGCAGGCGATCTGAGTGAACGCATGAAATTAAAGGAAAGTCTCAACTGTAAGCCATTTCAATGGTACATACAAGAAATTGATCCGGAACTCGAGCCTAAAAAGATGCTACATGAAGAACTATAAATTTCGATCCGTCATCATTATGTTCAAATTTAAACTTTAATAAACATATATGTATTATTTGCTAAAAATTGCTTATTGAGCTAAAATAAATGTTTACCCAAATTTGCACTGCTATACTAAACATAACATTAGTTTATCATGAATTCATCATGATAAATATCATTTATATAATAATAACAAAACTAAATATATATTAGCATGATTAAGAATTTTTATAACTTGCATGTATTGTTAATATTCACATATTTGAAATGCTCTCTGAAATGAAATGTTTGGATATTTGAAATTAACAACAATATTGATATATTTACAATTGAGTAATGTTACATTTCAAATTTACTCCTAAACACATACATTTAAATATTTGAAATTTGTCAATATTTTTTTCATGAAAAAAAAAAAAAAAAAAAAGAAATGAGGAATCTTTTTATACATTTCTTCCATTCTACCTAATTTCGTGCAATAGAACGGAAAGAAATGAAAATGAAGTAGAAATAGGAGGGATGCCAATGTTGCACAATATGGTGTATTTAATTTATTGTTGGACCGCATTTTTGATTAGATGTTCATGAAATGTATGAATGTTTGGGTTACGGTTATTCGGTGACGTCATTTTATGTTTCATTCACAGTGATAATATGTTTATGATGTACAATTATGTATCCATTTTTTAGCATTTTGATTTGAAAAGTTATTTGGATTAATCAAGATTAATTATTTAAGGAGTTTAATTACTTAAAAAGTAAATGGAAGCAGTAATTAAAAAGAAAATGTTAATTTTATTACTACAAATATAAGAGAAATGTATAAGAAACTAAGATTTAATTCATTGCTTTCTGTTTTTTTTTTTTCTTTTTATTTCATTTGAAAAAAAAAAAAATATATTTTTAAATCTTACCAATATTGTCATGTACTATCAAGTTGATCATATTGTATGGTATAAGTATCATTTAGTACTCTAATGATACTATAGTGATATTGATGTCATTTTGTTTCATATTTAAATTTATGATACAAAACATTTGTTGAATCAATAAATTCTCTCTCAAAAAAAAAGGAAAAAAGAAAAAAGAACGTGTAATAATTGAAAATTTTGACAGATTATTATAATAATAGAAATACTATCAAAGATATGCATAATAGTATATTTTTTGAGTTTTTATAGCTATTCGAGAAATTTGTATGATTTAATTTTAAATGTTTCATAAGATAACATTGTACTTTTTTTTCTCATTAGGAAGAAATCTTGTGATGATTTGTTGAACGAATAAGATATTTACTCTTTGGGTAGTGGTTTTTTTTTTTTTTTTTTTTTTCCTTTTGTATGCAATTTGTTTTCAATTTGCACTTGCTGTAATTCGAATGAAGGATTCTATGATGCATCAATGAAAGTAAATTTTTAGTGTTCTGCTTGTTCTCTCCTCGTAATACTTATAATTTGAGAAGTTTTAGTAGTGTTCAACGTTTGCAAATGTAATGAACTTTATAAGAATGTGGTACCTGGCAGATGAAGGAGTAAGGAAAGAGCTGTTTGAAAGCGGCATATATCTTGGACGGTGACAGCTGGCTTATTTATCCTCTGAAAGTCGAGAAATAATTCATTTTGCATAGGAAAGTTTCAGTTCTTCAAGTTTTAGTTGATTCAAGCTTTCGAATTTAAATGAGCTGTTTTATTTAGTTCTTTATTTTTTATTAAATTATTTGGGTTACTTTCTTGATCTGCTAAATTTAGTTTCAAAGTCAAGTTTTAATTTTTACTCGAATTTGTCTAGGAGAATCGTTTTGTAATATAAATATAGATCAGACAAAAAGCATCGAAATCACAGAGAAGTAAAAGAAAAAAATAATAATAATGCAGAGAAAATGATGATAATGAGAATACCCGAGCAATATTGCTGAATATTTTTTGAATGTCTTATCCTACCAATATGTCATTTCTTTACTATCCGCTGTTTTTTTTTGCTTTCTTGTTTATAATTAGTTTCTTTGTTCGTGAATAATAATGTACATAGCATGTTGATGATTGTGCGGAAATGCTAAATGATCTTTTTTTTCTTTCCTTTCCTTTTCTTTTTTATTTGCATTTTTCAGAAATATTTAATGACAGAAAACAAAATATTTAAGATAATTTTCACAAGTACTTAATTAATTACTTGAATAATTCGAACTGCTTCTAAAATACGTATCTCTTGAAGTTTTTTTCAAATATGTTCCACCTTTAGTGAAAGAAGATTGCGTGCTGTAATGCATCATTGAGGACAGCTCTTTTTTATACGTCTCAAATCATTATTACAGGAAAAAGTATGCGTTAGAAGGAGTGAGAAGGAGCGAAAGAGATGTCACGTGAGCCATCTATTATAAATAATCCATCAACAAGCGAACCAGAAACGGTAACTGTTTTCATTTTAGTTTTTAGAATTACTAAGAAGACAGGATATAGAAGATGTTGTTTCATATAAATATATCATTAAAGGATGAAATGTGCATAATATTAGTAAATTTCCAAATACTGCTTGAGATTCTTTTGAATATGATTAGTGTTTCGCAGCAGAAATGTTTTATTTACGAGGAAAAAAAAAAAAAAGAAAAAATTTAATTTACTTTCAAAGATAGGCATTTTTCAATTAAAATTATTAAGCTACTAACTCTTATATAAAAAGGTTTCATGTTGACGAAAGGCAGTTTATGTTAACAATCCAGACATTTACGTAATGACTGGAAAAGTATTTGTCATAACATCGTCAGTTGTGAAAAATAATACTGTGGATCATAATATCATTCGAAGGAAGTACAGTCTATGTCATGAAATGCTTTATGAATGTGAATCAGCCGTACTTAATGATAGGCCGTACATATTAACGCTTTTTAAATGGCATGATTCTAGAAATCGTTCAAATTGCAATTCATATTTCAATGCATTCATTGTATCTTTACATATCCTAGAAATTCTTTTCTTTTAATTTTTTAGTTTGCCTGTTCTTTTTTTTTTTGGTAGGAGATTATAGAAGTAATCTAAAAAGCAGTAAATAAACTGTATTTGTATTTTAAATAACTATGATGACTAAAAAAATATTTGATCCAAATTCTCAAATAGCTCCCATTTTAAATTGTGTAAAAAGTTGAACTTTCTTCTTTTTCCACTAAAAATTCATACGTTTTTATTGTTTTTTATCATGTTTGATTTTTGGATGGTAGTTTCATTGTTAAATATTGCTAGATTTGCATGCTTGTTGTTATCAAAACATTTGGATATGTTGAATTTTCAGCTGAAAGTGCTCGCGAAAGTGATCCTACAGAACCAATCGAACGATGAAATAATCAGTGACGATGAGGCACGACGACGTCGCGAACAACTCAATCGACGACCATCATATCGGTTAATTAATTAATTAATTCTTCTTTGACTCTTCATATTGCTTTTTGTTTATACATAAAATTGAATTTCAGAATATCATTTCAATATACAGAGAATTATATTTCTGAGACTGTATATTATGATTTTTTAGTTTTTTAGAATATATACCTTGTAGGCAGTCCATCTGTAAAGCAACCATTGCTCTTTTAGATAAGTAAATATCTCTTAAGAGGAAATGGCAATTTAGTTTGAGACTGCATCGCTTTGTAGTTTACAGATAGAGAAATTTTAGTATATATATAAACGAAATTCGTTGACATATATCCTTAATGAAGTACTATATTTGATAAGTATTGTTTTCATTTTTTTTTAATGTTGTCCGACGCACAAAAAAGAAGAACTAAAACCTAAAAGATCACTTAATGATCTATTAATGCTGCATAAAAAAGCATTTGGTACAAATATATGATGTAATTGTATTTAATTATTTTGCGTTTCCACAGTTACCTCGAATTTACGTGTAGAAGGAATGAGCTGTTAGTTGTTATAGTATCATGCTGTTGCATTGATGCAGATAACTTTTACACTTGAATAAATAAAGTTTACGAGAATTCGGCATACTTTTAGTTTTTTCTTCAAGGTATTTCGTATTTTTTCGAGATTACATGGTTTGGTTGATAGATTCAGTTTATAATGAACTGAATTTTGTGTTTTTGTTTTTGTCAAAATAATAACTTAGAAATCTTTCGGTGATGTTTACTAGCTATTAGAAATTTAGAGAAAGAGTGAAGGGTACAATTTAATCTCCGACGTTCAGGTTTATAGTTTAAACTGCTACTCTGATTTATCGCTTTTAATCGCATTGTTCTCGTCATTTTTTAAAGAAATCATACACCAAATGATTTCATCGCTTTTTCAGCTACCATTTATCATTTAAATTGACAAATTTTTTGTTATACATTTTTTACGAGAGTTTGCCTCAATAAGTAAAGCTGTACAGTATTGTTGTTGACACTTTGTTCCTGCTCCTTTCCTCTTTCTAGTCTTTATTAACGAAACATCACCATTCATGGGTATTCTGCTATGAACAATCAGCATTTATTTTAGAATTTTTGTGGATTTGATTTTGAACGAAAGGACAGATAAAAAATTAAATTAAAGGTTAAAGGGTTAAAGTCGATGAGTTAATTGTGATTAAGAATGGAACGTGTACGAATAAAAAATTATTACTAAGTGGTTCGAATTTAAATGACATTCTGGGTGATTGTGAAGCTTTTAGATAGAGATGAGATCTGTTAATTGACCATGATTTTTTCTTCTTTCTTGTTGGAATTCCCGTGGAATTCTGAATGTTTCTCGTTGAGGGATTCAGATATTTGAAGTAGAATTTTATCGTATCTTTTTCATAGTTTTTTATTTTTCTTTTTGATTTACGAGATCTTTCAAATTATTGTACTGTTTGGAAGGGTGGAGTTTTGGAAATTTTGGAAATTACTGAATATGCCTTATCCAGTAATGGAAAAGTTAGAATATTTGTAACATTTCTAGATATTCACTCAACAATATTGGACGTATGTTATCCACATCACAGATTTGAAGCAACAATTAGTGAAGGATCAAATTTCATTTTTTGCTAGATTCTACC